TGATGATTATAATGGTGAAATTCTTTAAAGAGCCCGTAAAATTATATACAATCCATGTAAACTCATTGATCCTTTGAATAAACTTAATCTAAAAGTTTATCAATTTAACACCATAATAAAATCTTTGGATATTGTTTTAATCGGTACTAACATTGATTTTGTTATTAATAAATATTAAAACATCACTGAATATGTATTCCTTTACAGTTAGGAACGCTTAAGGCCATATACCCTGTTGATCTTTATATTTTGGTATGCACAAGGTCATGCTTTTTCCAGACTGTTTATGAAGCTTGACACTTGGACTTGCTAACACGTTTTATTTATTAATTGTAATTGGCTTTAAACTAGCTTTCAGTAAATGTGAGTCATCTTAAATTGGTACTTTGTGTCTTAAGTCTTTTTGTTAATTGTTTTTGTGCCTTGTTGTCGATCTGAGGGGGGCTGTTCAACATTCACATACATGTTTAACCCTGCCACATACTGGTATGTGAACATAGCAAGTCAGAAGCGTGTAATTCAGTAATAGTCCTTGGTGGCTTGGTGACTGTCTATAATATATGTTTTTCGTTTTTTTTGTACAAAAATCAGGTCTTTGGTATTCTGGTTTGAATTGTTTTACAGTTATTTGATCATGTCAGGGGCCTTTTATAGCTGACTCTACAGTATGGTTTTTGTTCGTTGTTGAAGGTCGTACAATGATCTATATTTGCTTACGTCTTCATTATCTGGTGGATAGTTCCGCATCTTATTTTTATATATGTGTATGTTTCATATGATCTAAGCCTCAGTTTAAGAATTTCATTGACCTTAAAATTATTTAAATACTATAGTAGGGGAAACATATTTTCAATTCTTTTTCTCTTGTATTTTTTTATCATCAACAGAGTTTACATGAATCTTAATGTTTCAATGATAAAATGGGATGAAGGTGCGAGAACCACAAACTTTGAATTTTCATTTGAACTTTATTTAGATGGGTTAATCTTTACACTCATTAAACCCATTGCCTTTATTTATCCCAGTCATATTCTACTTTAATAACTCTAACTGTTTCCAAGATAAGAAGGTTAGATATGGGTAATAGGAATCAACGACAAAAACTATATATTTTTCATTTAAGGATGAATTTTGGAGCTGATTTTTTAATTAGATCTTCTGAAAAAAATCTGTTAGAGTCATCCCAAATAAACTCATCATAGAAAAGATGGGAGTCATGATTAATGTCGGAAAGTCTTCTACAATTCTTCTTTTACAAGACCTCTGATGCTTTGATCATTTATAACCATTTAGGAGTAACAATTAAGGATTTGTAAAATAAATCAAACTTGTATAACATGGTTTAATTATTGTAAGACAGACAACTAATATTTATGAATGGTTTATTGACAATGGAATGATATCAACATTGAGTGAACATACACTGCTTGCAACTTTTCTATTATTTCAGACATTCTTGAAATATAACAAGTAATAGTTTTACTGTCTTTATGTATTCTTTCTAGCAATTCTTGAGGTAAAATGTATGACTCTGGTGTCAGTATTCTAGAGTGACTCTATAAGTAACTATAAAATGTTTATCAAATTTGTTAACACATAACATTTTCTTTAACTGTTTGTGATTTAGTTGTTTAAATAATTGCAAAAATTCAATGATGTAAGATTGTAAAGAATGATGATGAAGTGATATAAAAAATACATTTTCACTTTAAAAAACAGTGAACTTAATCAACTGAATTCAATAATACACATAACAATCAGTTTGGCTATAAATGATTTCACATTCCTTTATGAAAATTGGTTGAAACAACAAATTTCAAACATTTACAAACAACCCTTTTTCATTTATCACATTTTTATTGTAATTGAATAATGCAAAGAACAATGAGTATTATGAAAGGTTTTATATTACTTTGTATTACATCGAAACTGGAAAGGTAACTCAATCTTCCAATAAACAAGGTATTAATACTTATTCTACATATATATATATGTACATCTGTGATACTCTGTCAGGTCAAATAATAATTTCCTTAAAACTAATGCTTCATATGAAAATTATCTTGCAAAACCTTCCTTTTATCTATCAACTTTCCAATAGTCTTTTAAAGACCAGAGTAATGAATTAATAAAACTAGTTTGCTATAAAATACTATGGTTAAATGTTTCTCTAATAAATCAAATCACAAGACCTGGCCTTGCGGTCATAAAACTTTCGAGCATGATTATTGTACTCAGACTCAGAAATCAACCAATCAAAATACTGGATTTGGTGTTTCCAGCACAAATTTTGTGCTCCGAGTACTGAGTAAAGTTTTATGACCGAGGGCCCTGTTGTTATTTATGAAAGTCATGGGTAATTTCTATATGCATGTAACAAGCAAGTGTTTTCACATGCTGCAAAGCTAGTTAGGTTCAAAAGTTGGTACAACTTCTGTTTACAAAAAATTGTGTAATCAAAAAATATCAAAATTTAAATCATGAAAATAATTAGCAATGCTTAGCTTGCAGAATTTCACTAGTAGAAATTTAAAAATCTATCAACTACATTTCAAATTTCAGCAGTAAATTCCTTTATCACTGTCAATACCTTTACAGAACATGTTTTGTATGAAAGGTCTACTGTAGTGTTTGGTTAGTATCTGAATCAAAGCTGACAAGGGAAATGGAATAACAAAGATAAGATATACCATTTACAAACAATTTACATTGTTTTTAGTCTTACCTTTTCAGATCTTTTTTTTTAATTTAAATTTTTTTTTTAAATATTAAAGCTGCAATCATGGTAGTAAACCAGAGGTTTAGGCTTCTTACAATCAGATGATAAAATTCAAAGTCAGTAGGAGCTATCACCCTGACTAGTTTGAAGGCAGTAAAATTTGAACAATTCAGCTTTTGACATGTTCTATCCATTTATTCATTTTTACTATTGTGTGATAAATACAAGTTAGCAGCCATTCTTTTTGCTGACACAGCAGTATCTGAGAGCAAAAATATACATTTCACATGGCTGAACATTTAATATTTCACCATTTGGCATCGCTGGGTGATCTTTTTTTTTTAAACAATAAGACTAGAAAAAGAGAGATCTAGGAATTGGTTACATTTAAAATTTGTTAAATCAAATGCCAAACGTTAGGATATTATTGTCTAGCTAATATATGTACTGATTTCATTAAAGAAAGGATAAACATAATTTAATTTATGATATGTGATATAAAAAAAAAAACATATATAGAGATTATTAATTATAGAGATCTACTTTTGATTATCATACATGAAAGACACTAAAATTCCAGCTAATGCAAATAAAAAAGCTATAAAAATCTTTAAATAAACAAAAACAACTAAATATACAAAATATGTCCAATTGAGGTATAATCATCAAATTTGTGAGCTTCACAAAACAACCTACTAACAATTTGAATGTCTTAATCCAGCTTAAAGTAGATTTCAAGTAACAAGTAAATGGAACTTAATGGCAACTATCTAAATCAACCATACTACTGTCATGTTATTTACAGTTCATTAAGAAGCTAATATGTTGCAACTATAACATATATGTTCAATAATTATAAGGGTATATATTTACCTTTTTTTATATAAATAATACCTATATAAAAACAATTAGTATATTTTCTACTTATAGTTATATAGAGTGTAAGCTGTGTTTAAGTTATCATAAACATAGACTACACCAAATATTGTCATAAATAAAATAGTTACTACTGTAAATTCAGAAATTACGAGCATTTATTATGACTTTTTAAGAATGGGCAAACATTTGAGATTAATTATTGGGATTTTGGGATAAGCTGCTTACAGATATATGTATCAGATATCAGAATGTGAGTTTTTATTATTGCAATAATCACCAAGTCACATTATATGCATAAATAAAAACCTTGCAATAATCTCTAAATTTACAGAATTTGTTTCCTACAGATATTATTTCACATAAAAATGGTACTGAATCAATCTAAATATTATTTCTAAAATATATACATTGAAGTTGGAACATATAAGCTTTTTAATAAACAGATTTTTATATGACATAAGTAGGACTTATTTTGTCAATCACCATCAAATTGAACTGACTTTACTTTAGGTTCTAATTTGTGCATGATGAGGACAATGAATTTTGGAATGTAAAAAGTTTCATTAAATTGTTGTTTCCTTTCACAGTTATCACATTAAACAATACCAATTTTACTAGTAAATTAGTAAAAATGCTTTTTTGCATATCAAAAAATATTAAAAGTACTTAAAGGTAATTCTTTTACAAAAAAGTCAACAAATAATATTATGTAGCTGAAAGCAAAGAATAACATTGTATTACAGGAAAAAATCCTTAAAACTAATAATATGGCACATTCATACAATATATTATATTTGTTCAGCATTATATTGTTTGCTTTTTTTTACATATATAACTCTGAATGCCCCATATAATGAAAAGATAAATTGAGGTATTATTTAATACCATGTTCACATAATGCTGCATGATAAAGTGCACTTGACAGTCTGTAGTGTTGACTCAATCTACATTGTTTCATTATTCTAGAATCAAATGTGACAGACAAACAAAAGATCACAACCTTTAAGGGTCAAAAGTATGAAATATAGGCAAAAGTTAATCTAGAAATTATCATTAAAGATGATCAGTTTCAAAATATAGTACAGTGTATGTAGGTCAGGGTGAACAGTAACAAAAAATGTAATGTAGGTCAGTGTGTTATTTCTTCAAGGAAGTTTCTCGCTGCATTGAAGACCCATTGGTGGCCTTCAGCTGTTGTCTGCTCTATGGTCAGGTTGTTGTCTCTTTGACACATTCCCCATTTCCATTCTCAATTTTATTCTTATACCTTATTCTATCAACAAAATCTCCTACATGAACCTTAAACACCCAGTAGATATCAATAAAAGCAAACTGTTCATCTTAAAGGAGTAAGTTCACGAAGGGTTAAAATTGGCCCTAATGTTTTGATGTTTTGATACTACAAGCTTCATTTAGAAATAGTTGTGATTTTACTGTTAATACAAAATAACTTCATTTAAGCACATCACATTAAAAATGACGAAGTATTGATTCCTTAAGTATGCATTATTTGTGTTGTAACGTCAGTTTTGGTCAATTTTTCAATAATTTTTAACAGCATTTAGCATAATTTACTTTGGCCACCACCTATGACCCAGAAAGTTTTTGTGTCTAGGGATTCAATATCGTCATTGGCAACTTTTGGTTACAGAACATTTTGGATCCTAAGTTGCGGCCAAGGATTTCCTCAAGCTTTTAAGTCCGAAAAATGCACAAAATCATCCTATTTTGACAATATATCCAAAATGTGCTAATTTTGAAGCCAAGAATGTACTCTTAAAAAGAGATTAATTTTAACAAAAGAGTAAGGCTTTTAAAATAGATCCATTTAAGAACCAAGTTATGGCCATTTTGAAATTATATAATTAAGTTGAAATTCAAGGCCATATTTGGCCTAAAGTGAACCTTGTCCTTTGTTCACAAAATTGTAAATTACTATATCACAAAAAGCATAACATGTATTTACACTCTAAACGAAAGCAAGTAAAAGAAGATGTTTACAGGTGTAATATAATGAAGCAAAGGTGTCATGCTGAAAAGATGTAAAACAAGGCAGTACTTCTTTAAATGCACAAAGTTCAGGATCAAAAGCAAATTTTTTTAGCAGAAACTTGAAAATATCATGATTGATATCTGAGGACTAATGTCTTGTGAAGATATGAATAATAGTAATTGGTATCATTTCACCACTTTGGAATTAAAAGAGCTATATCATTTATACTTCTCAGGTGATAGGATAAGGAATTCCATTCCTTGGCACTTGAAAACTCTTTGCATGACTCTCTAGAAGAATGTCCAATACTTTGCATTTAAAAGAATAAAGAAAGAGTAATTTGGTTAGATAGTAATGTATCATCAAAAAAATATATAACTTACTTGACGAGAAAACTTAAAATGAACAATATTGTTTCAAATTTATTTCAGCATTACAAAATTCTTTTTCTTTCCATTTCTCATTCAGTAAACCTACAAATTTGACTTAAAATACCCTTGAAAATATTGCTATGGTAGTTTCATTTGTACAGACATTACATACATACCATTTATGGGAAATTCCTGAAATAACTTCAGTTGAGTGAAAAAATTAAAACATACTATAAATAATGACATTCTAAGAGTGATCTTCATTTTGTATTGATGAAAATATTGCCAAAATGAATTGTAAATAAAAAAAAAAAGAATAATGAATAAACCTACAAATGGTTGGACATGCCTGTGGGAATATTATAAACTGATAAAACATTGATTACTTCAGTCTTTTGGTAAATCTGGGGAGAAATGAGTGATATGGATGTCAGATATAGAAAAAAACATTATTTTCCCCTGAAAGGATTAAAAAAAATACAATACTTTCATTATAAATTCTATTTCAAAATTTAACATTGCCTCTACAACAAAATCTTGAATCCCTATGTGACATAGGGTTACAATTAAAACATTGTACCCAACCTATATACTATAGATCATGCTGTCAGACCAACCTATACCAAAAGTACCTGACATTTTCTTATCAAAACATTATATGAATTCTCAATACATAAAACTTTCACCTGAATGCCAGTATACACAACAACCATTTAAAAGTCATTCAATAATGTCTGATTGTGACAATGTGTAACAATAACCTTGATTTAGAACATTCATTGTAAGAGACAGAAAATAAAAAAAAAAAGTATAATTATAACATCAATAAATATTATCTTGGCAGGAATGAAAGCTGTTCAAAACATTCTTCACAAAACTTCAGCTGCCAAATTTTCCCGGCATAAATGTCAAACTTTTCTTTTCCCATCAGCTGTATTAACTGTGGCTGAAATATAATTTGAATATTAATAATTTATACAATGGTAATAAATACATAAAAAGAATTTGTTGAGCAAAAGATTGAATAAGTTTGTGCGGTTGTCTTTCTTCCCTTTATGACCTGTTTTATTCATTCTGTATATACATATTTTGTTAATAAGAGATTGTATCAATTTCAACAAAAACTTCTAGCATCCCTTTAAAATTTTAGTAAGATTTCGTTTTCATCATTTATAATCAAGATTATTCTAATAGTGTCTAGTGAAGTCTACTACTACTTAAGTTTTCAAATCCAGATGCAATTTTTCTCTACTTTTCTGCAAACTTCACTTTAAAATATATTTTGTCTATGTCTTTGCCCATGTATTCTTGCAGTATGAATACAGTGGAAAATCTAGTGAATGAAAACAATAGAAAATTCACTCTTATGAAAAAGTCGAGAAAATCAATAATAAACCAATGCAGGTGACAATACTGATCAAAAGTTATTTTTTAAACAACAATTCTACATTTTAAAAAAATTATTTGTTTAACTGTATTATTAGAAATATACATGCAAATACATGATGATTTATGTTCAGTATTTATGGAGATAATTGCATTAAAAGCTTCTGAAACTGAAATCTAAAAAATGTTAATCGTTGCTGCATATTGATAAAAAAAAAATTGGAAAAAATCATGTACATACAAAATCTTGAGATCTTATGGGTCACCAATTTTCCAAGTGTTCCACAAAGTCCTAAGCATGTTACAATTTCCCAAAGTATACTTATTTTTCACAAAAAAGTTTTCAATTACACCGATCTGCTCTTGTCATGGAACATTCAATATAGAAATATTGTCTTTTCGTGAATATAACAATTTAAAAGTCTGTCTATGCAGGTTGAAAAATTAAAGATAAATATTTTTATAAAGTACCGTAATTGGCCTTGTATAGTTTGCACTGGTACATTGTCCGCACCCCCCTTCTCGCAACGAAATTTCAGGTAAAAAAACTTTTTGTAACTGTTTCAAAACGTCTACGAGTGTTAAAATAAGCCACAATCACAAAAAAAAACAATTTAGAAACTTGTGTATGTTTAAACCGGAAGTTCGAATAGCACTTATGTATGTACGTAGATTCCTCCATTATTCTGAGAACCCCTCGAGAGCTGCGAGGGTACAGTGGAATAAGTGTACACTCCCAATCGGGATAAATGGAGATGTGTCACTAACGTATTTACCACAATATTTACAAGGACAATCCCCATCACTACACAAAGGGAGTGTTAGGACACCAGGCAGTCAGTTATTATGGTGGAGAGAACCTCCAGGCTGCTCATGGGGGAACAGACAAGCCGAATAGATATCAGAAGATTGATCTCCAGGTCAAAGTAGTGGGCAACTTTTACCTACTGAGGCCCCCAGAGTACCCATTCTAGTTTTATTTCCGGTCTGGGTACCAGAGATGTGTGTTGGAGGGTGAAAATCACCCTTCTGATGTACTGAAATTTCCAGCGCCCCGAGTCAGAATCGAACTCAGGACCTTCAGCACTGTAGCAATCGGTCTTAACCACAAACCCAAATAAAACCCACATTTTCATGTGTAAATGAAAATAAATATGATGAGAGTGTACGGAAAATCCGTACTTAATAGATATCACTAGAATACGACTTTGAAAGTAAAACAGTTCCATCCTTGAGTAAAATAATGTTTAAAATATCTATCACATTAATGTTTGAAGGATCTTAAGCTAAAACAAAACACATGTGTCAGTATGAAACACCAAAATGGAAGTTTATACATCGTTATGCATATGCTGGTTCCCAGTTAACTTCTACACTTTTTTCGTTCCTTTAAATTCAAGCAGATTCCAGTTTATTTTAAGCAGTGCAGTGAAAAGAAACAACAAATTTGTAGTGAAGCACTTTATTTTGAAATTTATCAGTTTATATTTGATATTGAATAAAAATAACATATTAATATGGCTACGGTAAAATTATTAGTTTTGAAAATGATAAGAGCGGCCTCTACAATTTCAATAACAAACCTCGCGAAATCAAATTTTTTCTCTTATTTCTTGTTTATCCTACTCTATAGTCCGCACCCCTGTCTGGCAGGTTCAATTTTTGAGAATAAAACCGCGGGCTATACAAGCCTGAATTCGTAAGGTATATTTTTACTTTTTTTTATACAATTTTAAGAAAAGGTTGTCTCTATTTTTGTGCATGTATTTGCGGTCTTCTCTGTCTATTTACATTCAATGTTTACATCGGGATAAGGTCCTTTGGATTTGCTTAGTAACTAAATTTCAAAAGTGTTTGCTGCATATCAATCGACTCCTTTGGAATTTTCCCCATGAACTTCTCTGACCTAGCTGCATATATACACGGATAAGTAGCATGTTCCAGAGCGGTATACAGCCAGTAGAAAAATAAACTGAAGTTGGTACTCCAGGAATTTATTCGCATAGCAACATTTTAAACCAATTGTACATCAAGATCCTATAACCTGCTGTACTTGTTGCTTGCTATTTATAGAGGGAAGTGATAAACAAAATGGAAGTTTTGTTATTATTTCAACCTATTTCTCTTTTTACTTTCTACCAGAACGTTTCCCATGAATTTATAATTGATAGTGTCCTTGCTAAAACGGGACAAACATTGAAAAGATTTAGTTTTCAGTGTTTACAGGACAGGTAATATTTTCTTACTAGATTTCCCACTGAATACATGTTCCGTAACTGATAAAAATAAATTTTGCACAAAGCAACATTTTCTTATGTTGTAAATTTACAGTTTCAACATCATTGTCTTGGTTTATTACCACTTTTTTGGCATTTGAAATTGCTATTCAATTATGTTAATTTCTGGAATCATTTATCTGAATTGTAATAGTTTTGCACTCTTTAATCCCACACCAAACCTCTAAAGTTAATAAAAAAATGCCATTACACAAAAATCATGATGTTGTATGATCTATTGTGTGAATCATTTGTATGCAGAATTACTCATCAGAATTAATTCCTGTTTTTTTTTAAATATATTATCATGGTTGAACATTTTGTCCGAGTGAAAAAAGATAAGAAGACAAGAATAGTAAAAAGAAAACATTTCTACCGCATAAAACTGATATTATAAATCATTATATTTCAAAGTCTTTCTTACTTTTTTCACAAACAGAGAAATGCAAAACAATAATTTAAAGACATACGTTTATTATGAGAATTTTCGAATATGAAACGCAAAGCATGTTTTTCATCCAATTTAAAAAGATTTTCCTCAAATTCTTAAATTGATGAATTTGGGGTTTTTTTTCTTTATTTTTATGAACAAATATTTGGTGTGTTTTAGTGTAATTAAACACAAGTTTCGTGAAAAAGATATTAGTTGTCCACACAAACTTTGTAACAACTTACATAAATATGTGATTTGTTTGTAAAGGCATGTGTAAATTTAAGGTTTATTGATGGCTACAAACACAATGGGAAACAGAAGTTACAGAATTTGCTGTTTAAAATTCTGAAATGATGTTGTTGTGTGATAGGTGAGTGGAAAACTTGATGTGGTATATGAAATAAAATGAAAACACAAATTATTCTATCCCTTTTTACTTACCACATAAGTATCAGCCTAAAAGTAAGTTTTTTAATATGTATCATGTTAAAGAAAAGCAAAAGTGAGATAGAATCAAGACAGAAACTAAAGGTAAAGAAATAAAGACTATTTTGTTTGCAATAAGTTTCTTTCATTGCATTTTTTATTATTTCTATGAATAATGATTCACAGCAAATAAAACTTGAAGAGTACAGGGATGTTTATATTATAGAAATATAATTTCTGAATACAATGTAAACATATTAACTATGAAGAAGGCTGTAGAAACTTTAGGTCTGGCGAATTTCTTCCTTAATTATGCACAAAATATCTATATCATTCACTGTTATGTCATACCCAACATTTAATCATTCAAGCTATATACTAATAAATATAGAGTAAAACTCCTTCTTTACTCCTAAAATTTGTCTGTCTAAATTGGAGATATATCTTCAAATATGATATTTAAAATAAATATTCTGTAAATTTATTCATCAGAAATAAAAATTGTACCATTACGTTTATATGATTGTCAGCTGTTGCTATTTTAAAGGTTACAATACTACTACATATTACACATACCTCAACCTCATCCTCTTCTATATTAGACAGAATTGTAAATGATTTATGTAGAACATCAAATCCTACTCCATCTACACAATCCCTGAAAATAATACATAAAGCACTGTAAAAACTAGAAGATCATGAAGGCATCTATTGAAGTTATTATTCCAAACATACTTTTAACACAATGCATTTACTTCTATTATGCATTAATTCAAACAATTATTATATAATGTATTTTTATCAATATTTTAAAATATCTTTCCATTATTCAATCTTAAAACATATACTTTTTCTATTTTTCTAAAACCATTTTCATCGTTGTGGTAACTGTGAAGTGTGGGATAGGAAAATTGAAAAAATCTGCCTCTAGTTGAATTGTTGTTACTTTGAATATCATTTTCTCTTTCAAATAGCATGCTATTGACTATCACATAAAAAATTGTCCTATAAGTTAATATGTACTTACTTGTGAAGTAACTGTATTCTACTAGTTAAACGATCAGCATTGCACAATGTTTCTACACCTGTAAGTAAAAGAACATTGTAATTTTAAGTGTTGATTTATAAATTGATATTCAGGTTTTCTGAATATCACAAAATATCAGTAACAAGTTTTAATACAAAATTTTTGTCAGTTACTTCAATTTAATAAAGAAGAAAAGGTACATAATATTGTTATGCCAAAGAAATTGGTAATCTGTTTATTTTATTCCATGCATGTTATTCAACATGTATTCTTTAGGAGAGGGGGGATTTGCACATTGTTTTTCTATGTTATTTTAAAGCTGAACAGGATATGGTTGGGTAAACATTACATCTACAAATGCAACTATTTCTACCAATCTCAGCTAAAACCAAGAGGATGGAGGAAAGAGATGATATATTTCTCAAAGATTTTCATATTTTACATACCTTGAGATTTGGATTGAAATGTCAAGAAATTATTTTGTTTCAACTATATGGATAAAATATTCAGAAATCTGTTCAAATGATTAAACAAAATGTCTTGCACAGGAATGTTTCTGGTTCCTTACACCCTGACTTACTTGGCAGGGAAGCAGATCTATGTATATCATGTGCTGGAGGTACTGGTTCCTTTTTATCTTCTTCATCATCTGATTTATCATCCTCTCTATTCATGTGTAATGTTGTGTCTAATAATGTAATGAAATTGTTCATTTCTTTGTTTTCTCTGAAAAAAAAAAACAGAAACAGATTTAATGTTTAAGTTGTGGACATTTTGCTGCTTATGACAATGATATGTGCATGGTAGAAGACCACCATTTTCCTTTTTTTCATTTGTAAGCTGAAAATTAAAGAAAAAGATATCATTCAAATAACATTTCGTCATATTGAATAAAGCTTAAATTTTACTGACAGTAACATTGCCAGATAGTATATGCAAGCAATTTTTACTTTTAGTTATATATTAGATGTTTTTATAATTATTCAAATCCATGAGTTATTTCAAATCATATACATTACTTTTTAAATTTTTAATAAATTTGCACTTAAATGGTTAAAAATACAACAGCATCTGGTAGACTGAAAGGAATTGTAGTTTTCTTCATTAGGACTTTATAGCTTAGCAACTAGTCAAAACACATACTATATGAGCAGTTCTGTAACTGATTCATTGGTAAGTTTTCACAAATTATAGCATTGTTAGATGACAGAATCTATAAAAATATCAAATAGGCAAAAACTAGTGTCCAACATCCAAATGTTTTTTTAATTTCTTTCTCGTACATAACAAATCAAAAAGCGTTTTTTGTTAGTCATAAGAATAACTAGGTTAAAAGAATTGTGTGAAAAATGTTAAAAATTCAACATGAATTTAGTCATAAAAATAAAAACAAAACTATTTCAACAAGATTTCATTCTGTAAATTTAAAATGTAAATCAGTGACTTTGAATATCACATAACATATCACATAATTCTGTATTTCATAACCCAATGTTTGACATGAAAAATGTGATATGTTTCTCAGAACTAAAATTGAAAACCAATTTTGAATTTACTTTCTAAATTAAAATATTCAAGGACAGTTGAATATGAAATGAACATTTGTATTCTTATCTTTGACCTTTATCAATCAATAAATAATTTAATGCAAATATTTCCAATCCAACAATGACACTGCACGCTTGTTACCTTCTTCCAGAGTGGCATAAATTACAAACTCTATAACAACAAGTTTTATTTCATATAAATCTCTTTAATTTATTGTACCATTTAATTCAAATATCTTTAAAGAAAAGTCTTGTCGTATTTAAATCTAAATACATGTATCTTTATTACTCACTACATAAATTATGTTTTTTTAAATAAATTAATTCAAATTGAAAATTAAAATGTGTGTTAATCATTCAAATAAGGAACGACAAAAAGATATGAAAGGTGAACTAAAATACAAATATATATCTTAACCAACTTTTAGCATAAGACTATTTAAAAAATATTATTTTGAGCATCCAAGTATGTCCACACAGCAAATTTGAAACTCATATGCATGTGTACAATTTTGCACTACACCAAGATCACCAGTATAGTATCTGAACAATAGCAAAAACAAGCTATTAAATTGAAACATTAACATGAAAATTATCTTCAAAATTTTGCATTCAGAACTGGTCTTCAAAGAAATTCTTCATTCATTCTTTTTTTTTTATCTTCTACTTTCGGTAATTATTTTTTAAGTGAGTTGCTTCTCATTAGTGGATAATGTAATTAACCATAATTATGAAATAGGATTTCAAATGTATCAATCCCACCAAAGTCGTAAAAGTATATTTTCACTTACAGAATTTTGAGACATTTTAAGTATTTTCAGTAATGGTGTTTGCCATGTTTGATGTCATCAGTTATAATTCCTCAGGGGTCACAAATATGATTATAATAATGATACAAAATTTTCAATAGGGCATCAAAAATAAAAATGTATCATTTCAACAAAGTTTGCATTCATTTTGGTGTTTACATGATAACCTTTTTATTGTTCTTTTTATGTTCATTTTATGTTCATTTTAACCCTGTTATAAAATAGAAACAAAGATTATCAAACTTTCTATTTTTGTATATTTGGTCAACTATTTTCACAAAAATTCCTAGATTATTGCCCTTTTTTTATTATCGCTTAGATACTTGTTCCATTCAAAAAATGATGAAATACTCATCTTATAAAAAGTGAGAAAAAGGTGTTTTACTGCAAAACCTTGAAGATATTTATAAACATGATGATACCTGTCAGGATCAGAGCTGCCTTCATCCTCATCATCAGATAAATCAACCCTATCATAAAAGATATCATTATTTAATCACAGGAGATGAAATCAAGAAATATCACTGCCAAGTTTTTGCAAATGAGATACCATAAAACCTTAAGATCTTTTCTACCAAAAAGGTACTTGAAATTTATTCAGAACTTTGTTTCTGTTTTCATTTTATTATGTTATTCTTTTAATCCCTAGATTTTCACGTTGTATGAAGCATACATATACTTTTTTGGTAAATACAGACAGAAAATTTCTCTGTAATGTCTTCAGTCACTACAACAAAGTCAAGAATATGGCAGTCAACTGCACAGTGTTTTATAAATAAGATCATTTGAAAAAGTCATGATTATAAACGTTTGTTGCCAAATAAAAGTGTCAAGCTAACAAGAAGATATTTGCAATCATATAAAGGTAACAGAGATAGACACTGATTATAGTTAGACCACCATTTTGTCATATCCACACTAATGCTGAGCAAAAAAGAAATCTGAACTTTATCCAATGCAATACAAAGTATACTAAAAAGAAACAAATCTATCTTAGCTGCATTAACTGATTTGTGCATCCTGCTCATAATAGTTGATTCACTTTGATTTCATATTCTAAGAGGTCAGTCAGTCAGCTATATGAAAATGTATATCCTTTGTTCGAGGTATGCCAAAGTTTAAGTCTTTTTATTTATCAAACTTAAAGTATCTTCTATAAGCACATCTGTGTATGGTAAACTATACTTGTACATGACCAAGATCATACATATTTTAGTCTGGGAGAACATAGTTTATTTATTAGTTGAAATTGCTTTGAATGGTCTTTTAGTAAAGGTGAGTATCTTAAATATGTACTTTTGTTTTTGGTCCTTTTGTTATTTGATTTTGTGGTAATTACTATTCTGATGAGTCAAGCCCTTTCCAACTAAATTTTACGGTTTGTTCTTATGTTGGTTTGATAAGCTACTGTTCCAGGCTGGAGAGGGTTAAGCATATTAATCCCTGCCACATTTTGTATGTGCCTATCCTGTAACTTGTTGGTTGTTGTCTATCAAATTTGTTTTTCATTCATAGTGGCAACATTTGAGGCAAACTGCCTCATATTCACAAATGTTATTTTGAGCTGTATCATCAATTAAGAATTATGATTTTGAGTAAGAATATTAAGGCAAAGAATGTTTCCTTATTTTTCATGAACAAAATCTTAAAAAAAAATTCTGAAGATACCTCTTATTTTCTCTCTTGAATTCATTACTTTCCTTCATTGTTTCTTCTTCAGAACTAGAGCTATCATCCTTCATTGATGGAATACGCTTGTGTCGTCCGGCAACCTGGACTCGTGGATGCGCTGATTCACGCTGTGTAGAGAAAAAAAATTGAAATAAATTTCAAAACAAAAAAACAAGTTGAACTGTATGCTATTACTCATTTATAATACCCCTGCTATAAGTTTCTGGATTTCATGTTATAACTTGTCAATCTTTTCAAAAACTCAGGTAAATAAGAGTTCTTATAATATTTCCAGAACTTTTTCATACTTTTTTTCATTGGACAAAAATGACTTATTGACTATTCACATTGCTTGGACTTTTAGGCATGATAAGGTAAACCACTAAAATGTCAGAAACCTGAACTGATGACTGTGGTATTTCTGGTGTTGTCACCATCTAAGTCTGTTTTGAAATGAATTAATTATTTAGCAGTAGCAATGTTTCAAAATAAGAACAAGAGTGCACACACTGAAATGTATCTCCTGTTACATTACAGATCATGATTGATTTTATGTTGAAAGTCTTTAAAATAAAGATTTTACTACAAGTATCACATTAACATAACATTACCAATAATCCCTGTAAAAGAGGTCAAGGTCAGATAAACCCTGCCAGACAGACATCTTTACTTACAATCATTCCATACACCATATAAAGTAGACTTACTGCTTATAGTATCTGTGAAACAGACCAAAGCACAATAAATAGCTGCGCCATGAGCGCATGGTATGCCCATTGTCTTGTGTGTGAGGTTTTATGCAATAATCATAAATCATTTCTGAGATACGGCGCGACATGTGAAAACCCCCCTTTTTTTATAAAAAAAACCAATAACTCTAAAATAAAATTTTGAATCATCACCAAAAAGTATACAGATCTTTAGATTAATATAATTAAGAAGTGTGTAAAGTTTTAAGCAATAATCATAAATCATTTCTGAGATACGGCCCGACATGTGAAACCCCCCCCCTTTTTTTTACAAAAAACTCAATAACTATAAAATTAAATTTTGAATCATCACCAAAAAGTATACAGATCTTTAGATTAATATAACTAAGAAGTGTGTAAAGTTTTAAGCAACAATCATAAATCGTTTTTGAGATACAGCGCGACATGTGAAAAAAACACCCCCTGTAAGTCCCGTAACTCAAAAAGTTTTAATCTTATTTTCACCAAAAAGTATACAGATCGTTTGACCATCATAAGAAACAACTATTTTAAGTTTCATGAAATTTGGATAAGTCGTTCTCAAGTTACTGTGCGACTGCAAGGATCCTATATACCAAATATTATTATCCTATTACTCATAATAAGCGAGAAATTCACATGACATTATGTTGCATGTAAGACAAAAATCTACACGATTTTTTTTATAGAACTAAAACATAACAAATGAATGGTAAGGGTCTGTAGAATCTTCCTCATCTGTAAATACTTTGCTGTACGATGATATATCTTTAGTTACCAGCAATCTTATGCATGGAAATTTTTGACACAAGGATTCCTACTCTTGATTACTGTAAATCAAATATTGTGAATAACACAAGGACAAAAATCCCTTCTTATATATCATGTGCATAATAAGGGACTTTTATTTTCTGACAAGTGGTGTATGTTGATTTCTTTGAAAATTGTCTTGTTCAGTATTATAGAAACTTAATGACTGGTTATGAGGATAATAGCAAGTTTGCTGTCGCTTGAATACCAACCATTACCCTCAATTCACCTCAAGCAATAGTTGTTACTATAAAGACATCAAACTTGCTATTACTCTCAAAACCAACAAAATAAGTGACATAGCATTATTTCAAGTTTTGAAGGAAAAACTTCAAAATTTATACAATATTAAATTTTTTCTTTAACTGCCAATGGAACTGACCTGATTCTTTTCTGCCTTTGTTTCTCTGTTGGATTCATGTTGTCGAACTGGTTTGAGGACAACGGATCTGGCAGAAACCGGTCTTTCTAGAGCTATAATAATAAAACACAAATGTGATTAAATTTATAGACCTATTACAGATGATTTGCATAAGCATATTCAAACTTTTGTGTGACAACTATATTAAAAAAGAGGCTCTCAAGCGCCTGAATCGCTCACCTGCATTTCAGAGGAGAAGATTTTTAAATGTTAGCAAACTTGAACAAATTGTGTAAAATTTTCTTTAAAGGGCAATAACTCCTTAAGGGGTCAACTGACAATTTTGGTCATATTAACTTTTTTGTAGATCTTACTTTGCTGAACATTATTGCTGCTTACAGTTTATATATATCTATAATAATATTCAAAATAATAACAAAAAACTGCAAAATTTTGTTAAAACTACCAATTCGGTGGCAGCAACCCAACAATGGGTTGTTCGATTCGTTTCAAAATTTCAGAGCTGATAGATCTTGACCAACTGAACAATTTTACCCAATGTCACATTTGCTCTAAAAGATTTAGTTTTTGAGATATAAGCCAAAAACTGCATTTTACCCTTATGTTCTATTTTTAGCCATGGCGGCCATGTTTGTCAATGGATACAAACTTCGGATACAATTTATAAACTAGATACCCTAAGGAACATTAAGTTAAAGTTTGAAGGTACTTGGCCCAGTAGTTTCAGAGGAGAAGATTTTTGAAATAGTTTACGATGACAGACGACGACGACAGACGACCGACAAAGACGGACGCCAAGTGATGGCATAAGCTCACATGGGGCCCTTTGGGCCCCCGGTGAGCTAAAAAGAATAAGTTTCCTTTCAAATGCACAAGTCTAACACAAATAGTGCAAAAAATAAATTGACTTTAATCAACTTGGTATTTTGTTTAAAATACAAAAAACCGTCAGATGTGATCTAAATGTCTATGAAACAACAAGATCAAACAGTGAACATCTATAGGTTACTGTTCAGCTTTTGAGTAAGGAGATACCGTGTGTACATATACATAGATCATATAATGTCAACAATGATTATTTAATTTCAAAATAATAAATACATCTCCTTTTTTTTTAACACAAGATAAAGGAAGTATAAGAGCCAAAAATATTTCCTGAAATTCCAAAACAAGAAAAGTTTAGTCATTAGAATAGAAATGTCAGTGATGACATCACCATACAGTGTTCCAGCTAGAATTTCAAAAGGGCAGGGAGCAAATCATGAAAAGGGCACTTTAGCACACTGATTAATAATTCAAAAAGGGCATGTCAAACATTGTCTTTTATTATGTAAACAGTTATATACATTGCATCTATTTATACATACATGGGCAACAACGTCAGTTGTTAAACTATCTACCAAGATAAAATTGAATTTTTCTATCTATCATGCTAAAAAACTTCTCAACAACATTACCTGACAGCTGTTCAAAACATTGGTTGTAACAGTTAAGTTTAACTTGAAGGATACAGTTCAAAGTTTCTTGTTTTAAACGGTTTCTGTGCTCACATTTAATCAATTTTACCTGTGAGAAAACCCTTTCAACTTCTGCTGTGCTCAATGGTAACACAGCAGCTGTGCTCATCAAGGAATGATATTTGGAAACAATAAAGATAGCCTTAACTTTTCATTTAATAAAAACTTAAGACAGGCCATGATGCTTCTGTCATTACATTCCTTGTCCCTAATAAATTCAAGATGTCCATTCATTTAAAAGTATGTCATTGTCAATCAGAAAATGACTGGCAAGATCATGAATTTCTGAGATGACATAAGTGGCTGGTACTTCTTGACTTTCAGTATCATTATTCTGATCACTTCCAGGATGATTTCTTAAAATTTATTAACTATTATTTAATTTTTTGTTTAGATGGAAAAATTTGAGGAAAAAATATTATTTTATTTTTTCATTATATTTTTTCTATTATTTTACAAGTATCTTAAAATCTATATATTATACTTTATTGTTTAAAACATTGAAATTGAATAGGATTGTAAATCAAATATTTTTAAAACACTCACATAGTACATATGAGGTCATTCAAACTCCTGTTTGTTTCTTCGCATTTTTTTAATTCTTCTTTCAAAAACTAGAAAAAATAAGTTTCCTTTCAAATGCACAAGTCTAACACAAATAGTGCAAAAAATAAATTGACTTTAATCAACTTGGTATTTTGTTTAAAATACAAAAAACCGTCAGATGTGATCTAAATGTCTATGAAACAACAAGATCAAACAGTGAACATCTATAGGTTACTGTTCAGCTTTTGAGTAAGGAGATACCGTGTGTACATATACATAGATCATATAATGTCAACAATGATTATTTAATTTCAAAATAATAAATACATCTCCTTTTTTTTTAACACAAGATAAAGGAAGTATAAGAGCTTTGGCATTTAGATAGAAATAAGACAAAACGCAGTATGTTAAATTTATTCATTTATTCATTGATGACTTGTAATCACCCCTTCAGATTTTGACAACTTGGATTTTAATCACCGTAAATAAGCCAGTGCTAATCAACCGTTTCAATTAGTTGGTCAATCAGCTGTTTCCTTAATCGTCAAGGTAAATATTGATTACAATGCATGCGCAATATTTACAAGGAAGTTTTATCGATAAAATGGCGGCTTTATAAATTGAAACATCAAAATAATACGACAGTAAAGGCATGGACTTGCGAAAAAGGGCAGGGCGCATAAAAAGAACACAGGGAATCATAAAAAGGGCACAGGGCGTCAGTCAGGAAAGGGTGAGCGGACTGCCCTGTGGAAACGATCAAGCTGGAACACTGCCATAGTGTCATAAACATGTCAAAAATTTCATATTTGATCTAAAATCGTAGGTCCACTGCTTAACAATAGGTCTCCAACCCGTGTCCCCATTGATTACATTGTTTAAGGTATATTTGCCAAAACCTATAAAGAACCTGATATCTCTGTATTGGACAGTATTAATGCATGAAAAATTCCTGGTGCCCCAAATGGTAACATATAGTTTAGTAAATGTATTGTACTAGAAACAGCTGTGTGTTTAATATGCATTGTATGATTTTATCATTTCATCAAATTTTCTACAGAATTTTATGGCTCACATTGGGCTGCTTTTTCTTTTTCTCTTCTTCTCTCTCTGGCTGATAAATTGCAACTCTGAAATAAATTTATACATTTATATCCATTTTCGAACAATTCTTTTTCTTTCTTCTAATCTTGGGAAGATTAATCTCACCATGTTTATTTTCATCATTTTTCAAAATGTATTTAATGCTTACAGGCTAACGAAATATGATTTACTACAGAAATGATATAAAAACATATATATATATACTGAAATTGTGACAAACATAAATATTTAGAGTATAAACTGACTATTAAGATAATTTGTTTTCTATGGTGGTGTTTCAATGCTATCAATTTTGGTATTGTGTTTAAAATTAAAATATACTGCAAGTTACTGTAAATTCAGAAACTATTGTGAGGTTTTTATTATTGCGAATAATGCGAATGGGCAGTATCACAATAATAAGAACTCGCGTTCTGATATCTGATGCATATATCTGTATGCAGCTTTTCCTGAATTCGCAATAATTGATCTAGCATTTATGTCAATTCTTCAACAATCGCAATAATAAATGCACGCAATAATTCCTGAATTAACAGTAATCTGTTTCATTAACTACAACTAGGCCTTGGAGAACTATTTCTTAAAAATAATTAGATTCACATGGGAAATGAAATTTCTAAATGAATAGAGAACTAATAAACATCAGACAGCAACCTAACAACATAAGTAACTTGAAAGTTGCATTTAAACATCTACGTTACTTCCCATATGATACTAGTGTTTTATACCAAGGGGTATTATAATGTGCAAACTGAGCAATTTACCCTTGGTGTATTTATATCTAAATCTTCTTCCTTAGAGCTTGAGGTACCGGTACTAGAAGATTTAGCTCCATTAGAATGCTTTTCCTCAGAGAAACTTGGTCTCTTCTGTGGTTCACCAGAACTATGGTCTAGTTTAGGAGGAGGTGGAAGAGGACGGGGATTGTCAACTTTCTTTGGCTGAAAAAATGAATTGTTTTAAGTCAAGGTATGTTACATGAAAAAATACAACTACAGTTCATTGGTGTTGTTTTTTTATTCATTTCATATATATTTGTACATATACATATAATACATATTTCAACTTATGATAAGATACTGGAGAATTCTTTATTAGTGAACTTTATACAGCACATTTTTGTTTCATAAAAGCCAATTTTTTTTATTTTCTAAGATAGACATCAGACCTTAGAATGTCAATTTAAATTGAAGATTAAACTTAAATTGTATAAAAATGTCATACAAATTCAATCATAAAGTTAAACCCCACAAATGTTGTTTGTTAAACACTGAAATATGCTTCAACTTTTTTACATTTCATAGAAAAAGCAATGTAAAGAAAAAGAGGCTAAATCATTTTGTAGTGCAGTATGAAATTAGGAGATAATCTTAGAAAATAAACAGAATGTAAACAAAGCTGGTGCAAGCATTTCCCCTTTTTTGAGCAAAACATAATTTTATATACATGTATGTATCATCAGATTGCACATTGTTGCTATTACCTCCCCTATCTTATATGAAACAGTGTGTAAAATGTACCCATATCCACCTCACAGTTATCACACCATACTTACTCTATCATCCTCATCAAAATGCTAAATTATTTAATAACTCTTTTGTTAATTTCTTTAATTGCACATATATTATCAAATAACTTATATATTGTATGGAAAGTGACAATGTAGAAGTCAGTGAACATAATTTTTTTAATTGCTCTTAAAACTTGTGAAAAGGAAGGGAAAAAGTATTCACTGCAAGCATTGTTGTGTGTTTTAAATTGATAGCAAAGTACTAAATACATTATGAAAATAGGCATTTGTTGAAGTGATTATGTAATCAGTATTCTTTGAAATGATACATTGCATATTCCTCATTTTTTTAAACCATTCATTTTCAAATAAATTTAAAACTAAAAAAAAACATTGTTTCCTAGCAGCAGCATTACACATGAAATACAATCTTGAATTCTTTAACAGATTTCCTTTCAGAATAGTTTAATCATATCTTTTCCACTTGTTTGCTAGTTAAGATTTATCATGTTGAAATCTGTCAACAATTATTAGCACATACTTACAACTTCTAGTCCAATCAAATTGCTTATATTTGCCTTCTAATTTTCATAGTACATACTTTTCCTGTGTACTAAGTAACTACGCATGAATGACCACAAGGGTAAGATTTCACTGTATCGTAATCAAGATATTTAAAACAAAAATTGCCACTGGCTATTTTGAAATAAAATGCTGTTTTCCAAATTAGATTAAATAGTTTGTAATTAGTTTTCACATTGATTTTTAAATATCCTGCTATTAAAATCTTTGGATCTAAAAAATGTTTTTGACAATTGCAAATTTTATCATTTAAATAAAGGGTAATACATATGGTTCTTTATACCTTGATTAGAGTACAACGATATCTTAAAATTATGATAATGTATCTTCCATGCAATTACTTTGTACACAGAAAAGTGTGTACTATGAAACCTTGTGAAGGAAATTTAAAGTAACTTTGTGATAATTTTTTAAACTTTCTTAAGGAAAGTGATCTATTTCGTCATGAATTGATTGATTTATTGATTATTGGTTGCTTAATGTCCAGTGGCAAATATTTCATGCATTGTTCAGGACGATGTCATGAATTGAAAAACTGTGATTATGTCTGAAGATAATGTGCCACCTATATATATATATATATATATATATATATAAACATATTCTGATAAATCTTTTAGTTTTTACTTTGAACTAATAAAAAAAAAAAAACACAAAACCTATAATCTCTGATCTATTTGTAGTTGCTTTTTAATGCCTATCTGCTAGACTATATCTTTGGGGACAAACTATCTATATGTTTCAAATTTAATATAGCTTTAGTTTTACAGTGAAATTAAAAAATGTTTTGAAAACATGTAAAGCTTCCACTGCAATTTAATTATTGCCTGCTTTTGGTCAATTTATTTTGTCATCTTACCATGTAAGAAGAACATGTATAGTAAAACACCGCTTTATATCAGTATACATACTTACACCAGCAGCTACCATCATTTCATTCTGGAGTGAAGGGCCTTTTTAAATCACATATTTTACAATGATACTAGTGAGTAGATTTACAAAATTCGTTAATGAGCTCCGTTTTACAAACACATGTGATACAAGTAATCAGCCAAAATAAACTATCAATAGACCAATTAAAAGATTACTCGAGTTGTAAATATGTGCTAAATTGGATAGTCTATGGAAAGGTATATACTATGAAATTAAGAGCTCGGGGCAAGCCCCTCGCTCTAAATTTCATAGTATATACCTTTCCATAGACTAACCTAGATATATATGATAGTGTAATTTCATCACCAGGCTAACTTAGTCATTTCTTTTTCATTCGGTAAAAAAAATAGAATATTGTGAAAATGCTTTGACACATAGTGGTTAACAAAAAACAACAGACCTACAACATTTTTAATAATTTATTAATATTATTTTTGTGGAAGCATACAAAATAATTCAAGAAACTTTACTTAAGAGATTGAATGTTTGTCTAGCAGAAGGAAGAATAATCTTTTTTTTGTGAAGGAAATTCAGAACCAATCAAGTAGCTTGAATCATAACTTCGACTAGTCTATGTACTTCTGTTTTGAATTACCAATGAAAATAATCAAATGTTTTCTATAATGTGATGTTTAAACAGGTTATGGTGACAAATATAGTCATCAGTTTGTCCTTTTATCCTAAAATGTGTACAGAACAACTTTAATTTGGTATTTTTCATGACATGCATATTAACATTAAAAAATACCATCCAAAATGACTGATGAAATACTTGGAGCAAGTGAGCAAGACAATGTGTTTAACATCCTAATTAGCAAATTTAATACTTAATCAGATAGGAATTATACTGGACATAAGATTTTAGAGAGTGATTGTACAATAGTTCTATTATACAATGTTCTTATGAACCTCTCAAAATAAGTTTCAAGCTACTTAAGTAAGTCCATATACATGTCATTTAAGTCACATCAGAAGCATTCACCACTCAACAATTTTTAACTCACATTTTTTGCCTGTAATTCAAATTTTTTTTATCATGAAGTATTTCAACTGTTTCCATTCTCTTTTAATACAACACATTTCTAACTGACCCCTTCACAGCACATTTTAAATCCTTAAGATGTAAAGACTTTGTAATATGATATATTTTCCAATAAATTTTTAACTTAACATCACTGTATTTTTTTTAGGAAGATTGAATTTTCTGAAAGGCATCTTTTACTGGCCATGTTTTCAAAAATAGTGACTACTATTCCTTTTGTAAATTATGGATAGTATAGCAATTAATTATATGAATTGTATATCAGTTGAGACTACATAACTGAGTACAGCTAGGTCATGTGAACATATGATTTGCAAGTTTGTAAATATAACAATAAATTATTTTCAAAATAATTTCACACAAACAATACTTACATTCTTAAATATATTCTTTTTATGTGATGATTTAGAAGAACTAGCATCACCTCTAGAACTAACATCACTTTTAACACTAATATCACTTTTAGCACTGGCGTTACTCTTCACGCTGATGTCACTTCTGTCTGTATCCAGGCTAGATTCTGTCTCAGCTTCCCTAGCTCTTTTCTTCAGTGCACTTTCCTTTTTCTTTTTTGGAGAAACAGGTTTCTGCTTCAAATATTTAAAATACAAAATAAATAGGTATCATACAGTGCAGTCATTTTCTAAAGATAACACATATTCATTTTTTAGTCTATAAATATATTGATAATCTGTATATGAAAATAAAGATATTTCAATATAAGATAAAGAGATTTTTCTTTTCTTTTTTTTATTAAAATTGAGAATGGAAATGGGGAATGTGTCAAAGAAACAACAACCCGACCAAAGAGCAGAAAACAGTCCAAAGCCACCAATGGGTCTTCAACACAGCGAGATAATCCCGCACCCGGAGGCGAGCTTCAGCTTGCCCTTAAACAAAAATGTTCAGTGAAAATGGACGTCACACTAAACTCAGAAACATATGATAGAACCAAATTAAAAAAAATATACAAGACTAACAAAGGCCAGAGGCTCCTGACTTGGGACAGGCTCAAAAATGCTCTGGACTGTATAAATATATACCTAATCATATTGAAATCAATTTTAATGAGAACCTACTACATCATTTACTTCTTTAACAGTATGATGAACTTCTACTAATGTATCGTTGTCACTTGATTCTGAGGATGAATCCAATTTCTTTTTCGCCTCAACTGGCTTTGCCACTTCTGCAATGGGAGGTAAATCTTTATTGGCACCATTGGATGGCTTTCGAGCATGTTTCCTTAAAGGAGCAGGCACGGGCTGAACTTGTGGATCAGTGTCTTTTTCAACTACAATGATATTTTTATTAGCACTAGGTCCACTGTCTAAATTGTCTTCACCAGGCACATGTACAATATGTCTACTGACTTGCACTGATTTACCAACTTGTATGGCTGCTGAATTGTCTGGTCTAGGCCTAGGCTCTGGGGCTGTAACTGGTCTTCTTTGGCCTGCTGTGCTGGGTCGTCTGAAATATATATCAAAATTCACATTTTTCACTTAATTACAAATCAGATAGTGTAAAAAGATATTGGAAAATTTGTTTTTTATACAGATTGACTATTTGAATGTTTCGAGATATAACAAATAACCTTAATTTTACAAGAACCATGCGAGTGTAATAGTATCAAATTTATTTTTCAAAATTTTTCTGTTATGATATTTTTATATCTTTTACACATTTATATTTATGGTTTTACTACATGTACCATCACTTGCAAATATTACAGGTAGACTGTCTTTAATACTAAAAGCAATACCTGATATTATCTAATTAAACATTGTCAATACAATAGATTATGAAATTATATGAGCAAATCAGCCCTAATACGGATAAATCAGCATGTGTAACACTGATGATGTTGCCCTTTCGATATAAATTAGGAGTTAATATTGCTTTTCGGATAGGGTCAATACAGAAAAAACAGGGCCAATACTGAAAAAAGCCGTATTGGCCCATGGGCTAATACGGGACTTTCACTTCCAGTTTCAATTTTCCTACTCTAAGCTTAACTTTGGACGTATCGTTATGCATAATATACATTTGTACCATATTTTTCAACTTAAAATCATAGAAAAAAATTTAAATGATGTTCAGTGTTTTGTAACGTCTTGAAACAGAAATATTTCACAGCCTTTTCGAGTACGGCTTTCGATTATTATCACTGTTTCATTTCCGTTGATCAATCAACAGAACGCAGACGAACCAAGAGTTAAAATAGTTAAACTGTCTGATTTATTCTTCCCAGCTACTTTATATTTGCTAGATAAAATGAATTGTAATAGCATAAGATTAAGTACTTAGATGGAAATTCAGAAATTACATCTGACAATGACTCAATGTTGACAAAAAATCCATCGTGAATGCGAAAAGACAATTTCAGCTATGAATGTCATGAATTTCTGTATCTTCTTCACGGTAAGTTTCTTAGTATAATCGAAGAACTTAAATCATTTAATAAAAGTGTTATGAACTGGCTGTTTCTGTATTGGCCCTGTTATAGATTCTCGATCAGCTGTATTGGCCCTTGACTCTTTGAGTCTCAGGTCTAATACAGCTAACCTCAAATCTATAACAGGGCCAATACAGAAACAGCCAGTAAATAACACTATAATACTGACACATTTTTGTGTGTGACAGGGAAACAAATAATAAATACTGATGCAATCAAAGTAATGCATGTTCATGTGGTTTCAATTTTGGTAAATTATGACAACAGGAAATAATTCCAGACATTTTCTACATAAATATTAAGGTTTTCTTAAAATCTGAGTATAATTAAGTTTTACTGCAAATCTGATACCAGGAACCAAATGGAATAGCATATCATACATTTATCATCACTGCAATACTATCACAGAAAGATGTTTCTCAAAATTTGTGATTTTTTTTAACAAGCACTTAGTTTTCCCAGAATTAGCCAATCTCCCAGACTCCAACCCCCAAAAACTTAAATAAATATGCAAATCCACATAATATGCACAACATCTGTGCAAAATTTCATCAACTTCATACCCATGATTTTTTTTTAATTTTTTGTGTTAAAATAAAATTGTTGACAGAGAAATAAACAAAACTATAGGGTTATTGCATACATGACCCTAATAATAGTTGTCTCCAGTTTTCATGGGGAATTTATGAGAAGAACAGAATGTCAAAATGCAAAAGTATGGAATGAGAATTTATACCAAGATGGTATTGATGAAAGTATCCGTCAATATGAAAAAACAATGGTTACAACAAGAACTGGATGTATGGCGTAGAAAACTTCACATGAATTAAAAAATGTGTAAGTGGCATCAGTTGAAAATTCTGGTCACCTATATCCTTGAAACAAACAAGATTTATTCTCATATCTTAAAATGACACTTTCTTATTGGAATATAATTAATTTCCTGTGTCACTCTCTTATGACATTAACATTTTAACATTTTTTATTACCCTTTCTTGGTTTCTTCTAAAAATACTGCAATGTTTCGTTTAATGTATGGATCTCTGAGAATTCTACTAACAGTAGGTCTTCGTTCTGGTTCCTGATGTAACATGTTACGGATGATTTGCTGTAGCTCAGGACTGTATTTCTTTGGTAATGGAGGCATCTGTTGTTATAAAAAAAAATATCCTGTTTTAAGCTGAACTGTTAAATGCCATTAAATATTTCATTTTTTAGTTGTTGACTGAAAACAGGTACATGTTCATGTTTGTAATTTTTGTAATTCTTATCATCTGACAAATTTAAAGAAAAAAGGACAACTAATTAAGACTTACAATTCTATAACAAGATTCACCTTTGTTGTAATTTGAAATCTTTTTTTTTACCTGCGTTGCAAATTACCTTTTAAAATTTATCTGACACTTAACATGACAAATGATAACTAGAGGCTCTAAAGAGCCTCTGTCGCTCACCTTGGTCTATATGCATATCAAACAAAGGACACTCTCCAACATTGTAGACGAGAATAGACTTCATGACAAAAATCTCTATTTTGTTGATCTTGTACTACTGATCTGTCTGTTTAGTTTCTCTCTATTTTCTTTAGTTTTTGCTCAAAACACGAAAGAGGGTAGAAAAAATCCCCAATTAAGGGCAATCACTCTTATGAAGAGTGACAGTCTACTAACTATATCGGCGAAATTTGACTTTTTAATAGATCTTGCCTTGCTGATCATTTTTGTGATTCAAAGTGTTTATCTATTATAATTTAAATCATATAAGGCATAATGGAAAAAATGTTTCTCTCTAAATATCATAGTTTTCATGATAATAGGCAAAAATGAAAAAAAATGATAAAATTTCATTTATTGGCAATAACTCCTAATAGAATTTGTCTTACAGTTTTGACATATATGGACAATTGGTAGAGCTCATTATGCTGAACATTTTTGCTCCATTCAGATTTTCTCCATTATAACAGTTCAAAAAATAATAGACAAAACTTGCATTTTACCCCTATGTTCTATTTTTAGCCATGTCCGCCATGTTGGTTGGAGGGTGGGGTCATCAGACACATATTTAAACTAAATAGCTTAATGATGATTGTGGCCAACTTTGGTTAAGTTTGTCTCAGTAGTTTCAGAGAAGAAGATTTTTGTAAAAGATTACAAAAATTTACAAAAAAATTGACTATAAAGGGCAATAACTCCTTAAGGGGTCAATTGACCGTTTTGGTCATGTTGAATTGTTTATAGATCTTATTTTGCTGTCTACAGTTTGGTTAAATTTGGCCCAGCAGTTTCAGAGGAGAAGATTTTTGTAAAAGTTAACGGACGATGACGAACGACGGACGGCAAGTGATGCTAAAAATGGTTAAAAAATAGTGGTTTATGTTAAATAAAATGCAGTCTGTCTGGGTTATACAGTGATTTTGCTAGCGCTCGTCATTTTCGTCATTTACGAAACGGTTTTCAAAATGACGAAAGTATTCCAAATCAATTTCGTCACTTAAATTTGGAAAGAGTAAAAATATTTTCGCATGAAAATATTATATTTCTACCTGTCTTATTGTTTCTGACAAGTTTATGACCCTCAGCTAATTAACATTTTCAACAGGTGTTATAAGTTGTGATTACAGATAATCCGCTTATCGCCATCGGATGGGTCACTAATCCGTTAATTATTCACCAACCTCATAATTGATCATCATAATTATTTTCCCCAGTAAAATCAGTCAGTCGGCATTTCAATTTCAATATTTATCAAACGAGCACAATTTGCAGTTCGTTTGACTTAGTTTCGTCATTTGAGTTTTCCCTCGGACAGTTCGCATTTTAATTTCAATATTTCTCGAACGATCACAATTTGCAGTTCGCTTGTCGTAGTTTCGTCAAATGAACGTATTTTCGTCATATTTGATATAACTTTTAATGAAAAACTTTCGACAATTTTCGATTAAAAAGATAGAACTTTATTCATAACATTCAGAAATGTTTTCACGAGTCAAACAGGTGCTTCTTCTTCTTTCCTCTATATCTTCCTCCAATAGTTGGAGTACACCAACCTTACTGAATTAAGGTTGGTTAATCCTTATAAAAATTATTAAGTGAATACCTAACTATTTAAAAATAACATTATATAGATATAAGAAGATTATGTACAGTTAAATCCCTGCAAAGATACTAATAATAACTTCTATGTACATTAAAAATGGGTCAGTTTAAAAGTTATTAATAAAATTTTTAAAAATAAAAAAGTTTTGAATATTATTTACAGGGCATGCATTATAGTAAAAAATCTTTACATTCACTAAACAATGTTACTTAAAGGTAAAAAATAACGAGTTTTCAGCTTCCTGCCTGCTACATGCTGGAGTTACTACATCTGTCTATGAGCACTACTAGGCGATATAAAATCAATAAAATCATGCATATAAGCTTATATGTCCTAAGCGATCTAATTATGCATAGCCATTATCTATCTGTTATATATATATATGTGAAGCTACTGGGTATTAAAGCTAACGGTAAACATATACATTTATTCCAACTATAGGTATAGCACGGCACAACCACACTGAACAGTTATTCTAAAATTTCATGGATTTTCTCAGCATTTAATTTTACGTAAAGGATTGATAGGTTTAGCGCGGAACACCCACACTGACCTAGTTGCTCTGTCCAAAAACCTTTATGGTGACTTTAGATTAAAGATAAACGTTGTTTCAGTTGTTTCATTTTACGGAGTTAAAGAAAGCAATTGAAGGTAAAGCGCGGAACAGCCATATTAACCTAAATTAAATGAAGATTTAAACATTTAGATTTTCGCAGCATTTAAATCTGTGTAAAAGATTGATGTTAGGTTTAGTTCCTTTACGATGAACTGCGCATGCGCGAAAGTATTCTTATGAATTTACAGACACTAGAACGTAAAATACGAAATAATTAAGTATCAAACTAAACGAGAGAGACAAATATAGTTCTTATTTAGCAAACTTAATTTAAAAATGATAATTTCCTGCCTTTTTTGAACACGAACCAATCCGTAGATGAATCCGGATTCATTCTGAATTTATTATTCACCTGTCACTTCCCGTTTTCATTTCATTTGGAAATCGAAAGTAAACGTGATCTATTCATGATAAATTTACAATTTAAAGTCATTAGACTTGTTCCATTAAGGATTTGTACAAATCCTTGGTTCCAACTTTATAGAATTAATTCTAAATATCGCTTTAAAATGTTTTTAAGGATAATGCGTATGAATAATGCAGTGAAATAGTCCTTACAAGTTCATTTAATATGCTGTGATTTCTGGTTTAAAAAAAATGGATCCCAACTTTTGCTGATTAGGAATGTACCCTGAAACTAACTGAAGTGAAATTGTGAACTATATTTCTAGATCTTATATCCTAATCTTCTTATTAAAGTGCAACATTAGTCAAATCATGCAGTAACTGCCTAGTATGCCTAAGTCCTTCAAAGTCTGTCAAAGATGTATAGATAGAAATATACATCTTAGGTCCCTTGCTGCTACCCAAAATATGGTTGATTGTCGTCCCTCGCAAAAGTGACTAAAGCCCTCAAAATCCTAGCTTAAACCCTGGGGTTATATAATTTAATCCTAAAACATGTCTTGTTTCTATGATATTGTTTGACTTACTCTTCCTTTGAGAATTTTATATACTAAAGCTTGCATGTCTCTTCCATTAAATGCGTGTTTTAATGTTGCCATCTCATACACACAGCATCCTAATGCCCATACATCAGACTGAAAAAAAGTCAAAAGCTAACAAGGTCGTCATTGTTATACATTAATACTTTTTATGATAATATCTGTGAACAAAAAAATTTGCTGATTTTTTCAAAAATAAAATTTAAATGGAATTTAAAAAAATATAGAAACCAGAATAAAATTGAGAATGGAAACGGGGAATGTGTCAAAGGGCATAAAACAGCCCAAGGCCACCAATGGGTCATCAACATAGCGAGAAAACCCCGCACCAGTAAGCGTGCTTCAGCTGGATCCTAAACAAAAATGTGTACTAGTTCAAAGAAAATGGACGTCACACTAAACTCGAAACATATAAATGAACCAAAATTAAAAAACACACAAGACTAACAAAAGCCAGAGATTCCTGACTTGGGACAGGCGAGAATACTTTTTTAAATCTACATCATGAATTAAATGAATAATCACTGATTCTGTTTTAGGAAGTAGTGTTTCACTTTCACTTATCATATACAAGATTTAAAAAATAAAAGCCATAGATCAAATTTTGGCAATATAAAATGGTACGTGGTACTTTTACAAAACAAAACTTTCAGTAATTTGTTGCTATGAAGACTTTAAATCAATACATTTATTTCCTTAAACTCACCAGAAAAACAAACTACAAAGAGTCAATTTATTATGTATTATTGCATTCAATCCCATGACATTGTCCTAAACTGGAGATCAAAAATTAAATTTGCTTCTTAAGATTGGGAGAGAGAACTATTTTTGTACTATATTAAAACAAATTACTGTATGGGTCTTACCTTGTGGTTGTATGGTTTATTACTAAACAGTTCAGGACTCATGTAATATGGTGTTCCTATAAGTGTAGTAGCCATGTCTGTTGAACTGTCTAAAACTCTGCAAATACACAGTAATAAACTTCTTTATGAGATCAGAACAGCATCAAAAAGTCTAACATTTCTTTGTTCAAATAAAGAAATAATACTCATTACTGTAATCAATTACATAAGTAAACATGAACAAGCTTGATAAGCCCTTTGTAATTCAGCTGTAGAATTGAATAGAAATTCAGGCAAGGATTGCAGACACTTTTTTTACATTTCTTGAATGCAAAGATGAAAAACTTACATTCACTTTACAATATCAGTTTATAAACTTGTGAGGAAATCATACATTACTTTGATCTTACCTTGCGATGCCTAAATCTCCAACTTTGATGATTTTACTTTTTGTTAAAAATATATTCTGGGTTTTCAAATCTCGATGTAGTATATTTCTTTCATGCATATACTGCAATAGAAAACAAAATGAAAATTGTAAAACTTTTTTCCACTTTACTGGCGACAATCTCAAAACATTTTGTTTCATGAAAGAAAGTTAAGAATTTTTATATTTCAGTAAATATACACTGTCACCTGTCATTAAGAGAAACCAAAAGTCCTGCAGTCCTTCAAGTTAATTTCATGTTTTGAATAACAATGTAGTTAACTTGACATGAATGTATAGTCTGACTCCTTTCTATATGTTTTGCATGAAAGTCACTTAAATGTTAACCATACTAGTATGTTGAAACTATAACTTCAATATGAATATGTTATCCTACTTCTAACAAAAATCTCACTATTAATTTTCATAACTTCTATATGAATTTTTTATCCTACTTCTAACAAAAATCTCACTATTTCATCGGATGAGAGCACACCCATTTAGTACTGCATTCCATCCAACTGATGGTAAATAAGCCAAAAACAATCTGGTCAAATATTAGTGACATCTTTCTAATGTGACCTCATGTTTAAGTTCATTGATAATTGTATAAAAGATGGCCATGTCATGTAAGTCTAGAATCAATGTGTAAAAATATTCAAACCCTTCTAAAGGAGAATAATATATATGAGATGAAAAAGGTCAATGATTGTAAGGCTTGGTATATATTGAAGATTTCCTTACTTTCTTAATAGTAATTATAAATAATTTATAAAAGAAGAGCCACTTCAGCAAAAGTTTGCCTGTCATAGCCACCAAAAAGTCAGCAGTGGGATAATTTTGTTATGTAATGACTAACATGGACCTGAAACCCTTGAAATTAACATACACCTCATGTTATACAATACATAACTAATATTCTTGATCAATCAAATGCATGTATATCACTTCATATCGCTAACTGTCTGAAACATGAATAAAAAGAGATTTTGAGTTCAGATAAAACACACAAGAAAACCAGAGAGTCACATATTGTCTTTAAAAATAGACAAGTGTCTTCACAAGCTGTTAATATAATTATTAGATCTGTCATTAACAGTAAAAGACGAAAAAAAAGATATCTGTGACTTGTGAAAGGCATATATACATGTCACTAGATTAAACTAATTGTGTGAGTACTCATCCCCCCCACTTTTTTTTTACTTTTTATACTTTTCAGCTACCTGTAAAGCCATAGCGATCTGAACAAACCATTCCACTACTTGTCTTTCTTCTAACAATGTCTGTTTTTGTTCCTTTAGTTTTGTGTATACATCACCTCCTTCACAAAACTGCATTGCAATATGAAGCTGACCATCCCTTTCAAAAGAGTCCTTGTAAGCAACAATGTTTGGATGTTTCAGTTTTGACAGCAGTTTTGCCTCTTGTTCAGCAGATGATCTTTCTTTCTTTGAAGCCTTTGCAAGATTTATTCTCTTTAATACATACTGTGGAGGAAAAAATGCCATTATGATTATGGAAAAAAATTAAAATACATATAAATGGATTTGTACACCTTACCATTTTTTAGTGTTAACAAATAAACAAATGAGCCAGTTCAGATCAGAACTATTCGAGTAACTGAACTATATATGGACTAATCAGAATAAACTGGAACTCACCCCAAATGTATCTTTGTGGGAACCCTCTTACCATGCTTACAGTATTTCTATATTTTCAAATATTTTTTTCTAGATTTTAACATGCTCATAAAATTGTACCTTCTTGTTTCAAACTTATGTATAGGTGTTTTCTGTTGGTAATGTAAAAGAAGACTAATTATTATTAAAGAAAATATTTATAATTGCAAAGAGAAAGCCATGAGATTTCATATTGTTTGTACATGAAATACTTTCACTAATTCTATTGTGCTGTTTAAATTTGTTTTATGTACATGTATTCAAATTTATTGAGGCAAAAAAAATAACCTTCATACTGAACTGGAATGTTGACAAGGCTGATGACAGAATATGGGATCACTATGTCTTGCCTTGATGACTTTTTCACAGGCTAGTTGCGGTACCACGATTTCCCGAGAATAACAAGAACAACGTAATATCCTGAGAACAAACAGATTTATCCCGATAACAAGATTTTTTATGGTATTATACTACTTTTAACAATATTAAAGAATATTAATTAAAGATATTACTCGTTTTTACTGAATAAAAATGCAATTTCACTTCAAGAATTCGATTTTTATGTGTTGTATGCAAATTCCTTGTTGAAAACAATATGGCAGACATAATTTTTCAAAAGGTAGACAAATTAAAAAAATAAAAGTATTGAAAGTACTGAAAGAACAGATTCTATAAAAAACCTGAAATGATGAAAAGTAGGTTAATACAGTTATTATAACTTCATTCAGGTTTTTAAGCTTATCAAATAATTGTAAAAATTTTATTCTAAAAATGCATAATTAAAATTCAATTATCTTTTATTTGTTTTCTAAAACTATTAGCATTTATTTTTCCTTAGTGCTGGTTCCGCATGCACGATTAGAATGATACATTTTTTCTCATTGGTTCAGTAATTTTTATATTTTACCTGGCTTGTCCAGTCCAATAGACAACTTTCGAGTTCGATGCATTTCCGTCAAAAACTCTGGTTTTAGTGAACATCATTCGTGCGTTAATGGGGCATCGTCACTTCCGTTCCAATGTTAAGCAAGTGGTTGGAAAACTATAATGCTATATTGCACGAATTATTCGGCAAATTAAATTCTCATAATTGACAATCAGCACTACTGTCATTAGGGAATTGTGATTAAGTACTTACAAAACAAACATTATTTCTAGTTTATCCTGCACAATGACAATCACTCAGACGCTTGATGAACGTTAATAGTGCAGGGATACAGGCGATCCCCTCTATCTGGTAAATGACGTCATAAAGGCGCGCGTAATTGACAAGTTTTTTCCGGTGAAGGATGAACTCGAAAGTGGTCTATTGGTCCTACTGGTAATTTCTACTCAGGATAGTTTTCCTTTCAAATCACTATATTCGTATGATCATTATTCTAATCAGTTTTCTCTGAACAGGTCATAATTTTTATTTAATTGACGCGTCGATCGACTTAAATTTATAATTCTTGAAATACCCACCCACCCAGCCCTATTTCTAAAAAAATAATTTTATTCAGATTTTTTTCTCCCGTGTGTTTAGCAGGTTTTTTGATAGATAGGTTTTTGTACCTTCTGTTTGAGTAAGTTACATGTACTTGTATTGTGACTGTCATTTGTTTTTTTTTGTGTTGTGTGTATAGTTTATGTTGTGTAGACCTGTAAGTTTTTGAGATGCTGATCCAAGCCTAATAAATGTTTTTACATACTTTTCGTTTGTTTAAAATTTGCCAGAGAGAGTTAAAAGATTGAAGAGCAATTTCCTTTAGTTTACATTTATATGACAAACTGATTGTGTTTAAAAAATATTGTTAATGCAATTAAATATGATTCGTCAAATTTATTAACTAAAAAAACAATGTTTCCAAAATCTTTTTAATTTTAAATACACTAATTTAAGCAGTATATATAACACCATGTAAAATCTTGTTATGGGGACAAATCAGTTTGTTCTCAGGATATTATTTTGTTCTTGTTATTCTCGGGATATCGTGGTACCCGGCTAGTTGAGAATGAAATAGATGAATACTACAGTCTGGAAAAATCCATCTCATGAAACTGAGTAGTGCCATGAGACCTTACTATTGATGACTGTTAATTGGAAATCAATTCTACTTTCCTATATACTTTGTTTTAAAAAAATACCTGTTTTCTATCTCTTTTGTGTCTGTACAAAGAAACTTCACCATAACTTCCTTTTCCAATTGCTCGCAAGTACTCAAAATTGTCCATTGGATTGCTTGATCGCGACATTTTATTATTCTGGTGCCTTTAAATCTACGTTTGAATGAACTTTTGAAGTCTATGTTTTAAATGTAAGATTAGTATTCATGTTTTATATCCAAACTTCATATTATATCTAATTCATTTATTCGCCAATAAGTTCATCGTTTTATGTCATTGTTCGTGTTGACTTTTTGTTCTGTTTAAAGTCATGTAGCAAGTGTCTTTCATGTTTTTTTCGAATATGGCTTAGATGGTGAATTGCTTGACGGAGTTGTCTTGTAGTTTGATATGAAATATATAGAATATTAATACAAAATCTATTAAACTCAGTGTCTTTTCAACAATTTCCACGTTTCTAACAAAGCTTTTGCGACTATGGATTCAGGAAGTTTATGCAAAGCACCATGGGATTTGTTGATGTCATCTAAACAAATCTTCACTGAAGAAGAGCAAAATAAAAGATTTGACTAACTACCTACGCTCATTATAAGAAAAACACCGACAACCACCATAGTAAATCATCGTGTGTTTAGTAATTATTGATTGGTTGACTAATTGATTGATTCTAAAGAAACATTTTTGTTAAAAATCACCTTTCAGTATGCTCAAAGTTAAAGCTTCTTTATATTTATTCATTAATCTAAACTTCAATTTTAAAAATTACTCTCTATTTCCAAATAAAATTTGATTGTTCAGTCTAGACCAGGACTATTATCGGCTAACATTAGATCATCGACTGAATAGTCCATTATTTAAACGCTTAACACCATCTTGCAAACTAGTCACTGATAAAAAAAAAATTCACAAAATGGAAGAAAATAGCAACTGTTAATAGTTCAAATGCTTCATGAATTAATTATGTTAAGTTACCATGAATTTTTTTAACACCGTTGAACTGCATTTTAACTGAGATTGTAACCGGCATTCCACATTTTGCTACTAGTTCCTGTTGATCCATTTTTTAAGACACAACAAAAATCGTTCAGTAAATATCTTTGTAAGACTTTTATTAACTTCAATAAAAAGGATAATAATTTCTAATCTCCGTAGTTATGACGTTTGTGTATAGAACGTTTTGTAATCGAAAATGATGACTGGTCAAGAGTTCTACGGTTTGATTGATTGTTACTTGGTCAGAATGTCACCTGACTACCAAATATTTCATGCATATTCACTAAGATTACTTTTTTGTTTGTTTTTTATTGGGGTGGGGAAGGAGGATATGTGGAATACATTGTAAGCTAAAAGTTCAAACATTCCATCTAAATCTTACCTCAAGTTTGAAATGATTCGGTGTTTTATAAAAATTTCAGCCGTATGAACGTTATTGAACTGGTCTGACGAAGACGAATGAGCCAGTCCATGCACAAAGGTACAAAAAAAAATGCGGAATTCTAAAAAGTAATGGGGGCAACGGTTTGAATCCCGTCCAAGGACGGTTAATTTATACAATATTAAATAACTTAACTTAACTATCAAAATTTCAATTTCAAAAACACAAGATGACATAATTTTTGCATTTTTCCTTACGTTTTACTGTTGTTTCCCTTTCTTTAGGCACAGGTAGAGATGATTAAGATTAATGACTTTTTCTCTCTATAGTGTTGTAAATTTTTTTAATTTCTGCTCAGTATAGCATTGTTCTGGGTAACACATGATTTTACACATGCCTCAGTACAAAAATTCAGATATTTCTACATCTTTTTCCGTTTTAACTGACAAATTCGGGACAGAATTGACAATATTATGAATGTTTACATTAATATAATTTTTTTTCTGAAAAAATCGTTTTTCAAAAATATTTTAACGAACTTTAACAACGTGTTCTGTAAAGTTTATCAAAAAGACTTTTCGTACCTTTTCGCATGGACTGGCTCAAATGTAATATGTATTGCCTGTACTTCGTAATGATGTGATCTGTCCTAAACAGTACCTATTCCGATTTTATGTCAGATAGTTCTCAGTGTGCTTGTTGGCAACCAATGGAGGGCAGCTTTCACTATCGATGCGTATGTTCCCTAATTATGAAAACAACGTATACAAGTATAACAAAAATACCGATTTCCAAGGTAATCAAAAAGGGAAAGGAAGTCCATAAAATCTGACAAAATTGAACGTAAGAATTTATTATATACCATTATTCCAATATCTAAGAAAATTTGCCTATTTGCCTTTGGCTCTTTATATTTTGGTTGATTGCTGGATTTATTGTTATAAAAGTAGAGATGTGGTATGATTGTCAATGGCTACAAAAATCGTCAGCAGATTTGTATGCATGTGAGAAATTAAGTGTATATAGAAATGTAAAGTTTGATTTTTTTCTTGAGAATTATTTAAGCTAAATTAATAATGTTCACTTTCTTTCAAAACTATTTAGTGGTACATTGAAACTTAATGTTGAGGTTGGTCGTTTCTCTACTATACATCCAAAACTGGGTCTTTATCCATAATACCAAAATATTTCTACAGGTTACATGTATGTCTGTTTTTCTTAAAGAAACTGCGAAATATAAAATACAAAGCTATGTAAGGTACTACATGTATCCATTTTTGCTTATACTTAAATAAATTCTTTTATTCGTTTTTATATCTTTATAACATTTATTTTTCTTTCTTTCTGTAAACATTCCTTTTTTTCACTGTAATTATTTTTATTTCTTGGTAGCTTAATAACACGTTGAGTGCAAATCATACTCTGTAAAACATATTCTGATTCTAACAAAAAGTTCTCTCATACTGAAACATAAAAAAAAATAGATTTTTTTATTGACAAAATATTTGATGATTGATCGACGTGATTTTTAAGTCAACCCGCATTCTAATGATAATCAGCTGTTATTCTCCTCTTGTCTTGTGGATAGATTCTTGGGGTTGATATTCATCCCTTTTCTTCGGAATGCATGTTTTTAAAAACCTAAAAATCCAGGAAAATTAGGCAGTAGCTCCTCTGAGCCATATCTTTTTTTCAAATATCTTATATTGAATTTTATGTGTACCCGTTATCCTACATTAGCTTAATATGACCAATACCTCTTAAACTATGTAATTTGCTTATATGGATAATCCTTTCTATCGAAAAGTTTTGTGTCAATTTTTGGTTGTAAAAATTAATGTGACAATGCTTCAATTGCTTACATAACATGATGTAAATGTTTAAATTGATCACAAGTGATTAAAATACTACCAATAACCAGAGACATATAAACATATATATGTCTCTGCAATAACCTATGCTCTAAACTTGCATAGAAGTGTTTGAAAGGCTGACTGCATACGACAGTTAGTCTATCAATTAAACACCATTACAACAATACGGTTTTGGCTTATTTTATGAATTAATTCCATGCAAAACTGAAGAAAATAGTTTATACATGACCTGATGTTAACAAAAAGCAATGCGGGCCCTCCTTCATCCTTAAAATGACGTACATCTTCCTCATTGTAAAAGGGAATAACGTAACAGACAACTATGTGGACCCTCCCTGTTTATAGAACACATACCATCCTTGATCACTTGATATCCCCTACTGCTTATACGCGAGTTTATTTTTATTGGTACAACTAAATAACAATTGTAAAACTCGTGAAGATATGATATATGGCAGTAGGGGAGTATCAGGTGAACAAGAATCTGCATAGATATCATCTTACGCATGGCTTTCATATCATCGTACATCTGTATAACAATTGAGAAAGAACTGCCTTCTGAGTTCTGGAAACCTCGAGTGCGCATGAGCTTCGTGTTGCTTTTGCTTTAGTTTTCTATATTGTATGTTATGACTTCCAATCCGCGATGGGTGTAACTAGTGAAGCAGATACTACTTACCCGTTCCAAAGCACCCGAGTCCATCTCTCGATTTTTGTGAAATTCGTGTTGCTTAATCTCTAGTGTTATGATCAAAATATTTAGACTTCTATTTGTTATTTTGTCTTATTTCATTTTTGCCATGTTGTATTCAGTCTTTCTACTAATCAAGTATTTTGAATGCCCCTTTTCACAACTATATGTCTCTGTCTATTGTGACCTATGAACCAGACGACCTTTGTCTCTGTCTATTATGACACATGAACCAGACGACATTTCTTCTGTTATTATATGACGAAGAATGTTATAATATATGCAAACTTTCAATACATCTGAAATTACTCCGGGTTGGATTCTATTTAATTTTCGATGTTTTTATTGTTGAATTATCTTCATACAACCAGTTATACAAATGTTTATTGTCTACGTTTTGTGTAAATCAAATGTGATTATGTATGTTTTGTTACATAAGGAAAATTTACCACATCCATTTGTTAAACTTAAATGGTCTCTTTAAAGGATCTTTTGGATCTTTCTTTGGAAGGCTATGGCTATGTGTGTTCGATGCCTTGCTGAACTTTATGGCTACTTAAGGTAAAATAGTATTTAAATTGTTCTATTATAGTATTTCTATATCTTTTTATACATTTAGAAAGTATTAACTTATACAAGAATTTTATTATATTGTACTGTAAGCTATAAAAGGCACTGACATGGCAAAATGTAAAACAATCCAAATTTAACAAGAAAACCTTCGGACTAATTTATGATAAAACAATTAAGTTAACTATAAATGAAAAACAAATATGACAGACAGCAACCAACGACAACCACTGAATTACAAGCCCATGACTTGGGATAGGCACATACAGAATGTGGCGGGGTTAAAATATGATTGCGAGGGCTCAGGCAACCTCCCAATAACCTGGGGCGTGTTTTTTTGTTCTTCAGTAGTGAGCCAGAAGAGGTCCATTTCTGTTTTTTTGCATTGGGAAGATCTTCTGGCTCTCTTCTCCCTCTTCCTTTTAAATAGGTAGTTTAGACGGCAGAGGCACATAACAAACACGGCGTCGATTAGTCTAAATGACTCTAATAAATTTATGAATGCAGATATAATAGAATGTGAGCTGTGTGATAAACGTTTTTATGGTATGGCAGCCTTAGTAGGACATCCCTGTAGGGACAATAAGCTGGATCAATATATGAACTACAAGGACAATAACAGTAAGGGGACGACTATTTGATATTCTCAGGGAGGGGGAGGGTGCAGAAGGATTTTGTGCGGATTTATTATTCCTTTTAATCTGCCATTAATCATGCCTATTTTTTCAGCACTTACCTGGCCATCATATTCATATGTAAAATCCTCTTGTCCCCCAACCCACCACAAAACAAATTTATCAAATGTTTTTACCCTCATTTAACACAAGTTTAAATTGATTGATTGTTGGTTGCTTATTTTTAACGTCCAGTGACAAATATTTCATGCATGTTAAGGAAAACACGAGTTTAAAAGTCAGGTATATAATATGAAAATAAGGAGATGTAGTATGATTGCCAATGAGGCAACTATCCACCCAATTTCAAATGAAGTGAATGTAAGTCATTATAGACAACCGTACGGCCTTCAACAATGACAAAAACCCATACCGTATAGTCGGCTATAAAAGACCCCGACATGAAAAATGTGAAACAATTCAAACAAAAAAACTAACGGCCTAATTATATATAACAAAACAATTTACCAAAAATCAAATATGAGTCGACAGACAACCACTGAACTACAGGCTCCTGACTTAGAACAGGCACATAAAGAATATGGCAGGGCTAAACATGTTTATGAGCGCTCAACCCTCCCCGGCTTAAACTGGGACAGTGGTGTAACAGTACACTATAAGAACAAACTGTAAAAACAGTTGCAATTAGATTAATCCAAAAGGTCGGTGCGAGACACAAAAAACAACATTAAGACAATAGACACAAAGCACCGAAATAAGAGTATTTGCAGTTAATGAAAGTTTATTCAAAGCTATAATTACAAGTAACACTGAAATAAATCTTGTTCTCCCAGACCATTGTATCAATCAGTACACAACCAACGGATTTAGTCATAAACAGTCTGAGAAACGCCGTGACCTTGTATACCTTGTGGTGGTTGGAAGGTTTTGACCATCGAAATTTTGCAATTGAAATAATGGTAAGGACCACCAGGGAAAAAAGATTTTGAGAACTCTGCAATATATTTATGTAGAAAAATAATCCAGTTTGGTTACTTCAAACATGTTTGGTAGACAAGATGTCTTTTTCGAGCATATACCAGAAAAACATTGACAAATTTTGGTACAGTTTAAGATTATTCCTGAAAATTATATGGTCGGAGCTTTAAGCCGGATTTGTTTACCCAAATTGAGTTAGGAAAGCATAAAGATAAATGTGACGAACACAGCGATTTCTTCCAACTAACTTTCTTTGTTTTTACACTTATTGTATAATTACATCAATGCCAAAGAGCACACTATTACGGTCTATTACAGTCATGTCTACCGACTGAAATGACGTATCTTAATTTTCTAATAAATCATCGTAAACTTCATTTATGTCAACCAACATAAAAAAAAATCTGCTATATTCGACGGCAAATTGAATTTTTGTTCTATTGCTTCTTCTACAGAATATCTTCAGAAGAGGTCCAGATTCATTTTTTTGAACTCTTCACCAGAAGACATTCTGGAGATGTACAGAAGAGACCAATAAAACACGCCCCTGGGATACATGAGTGGTGTAATAGAACACCAAAAGAACAAACTGTAAAAATCAGCTGGAAGGGGCTTGGCACACCAGATCGGCAACAAGCGCATAAATCAACGAATAAAACGACAGAAAGGCGAAAAGTACCAATCTATAAGAGTACTCGCAGTTACTGAGAGCTAGTCAAAAGCCAAATACAACTAATATATAAATCACGTTTTCCACATACACAGATATCAATAAGTACACATCCAACAACTTAAGTTTAAAGACGTCATAAACAGTCTGAAAAAAGCATGATGCGTATTCTTATTAATTTTCGGCTAATGGGCCAAAATAAACAAAGGTTTCAATTATCTTGAGCAAAGTTTTCCATACAAAGTTTAGCCTATAATGCATAGCCCATTTGAATATAAAGATCCAAATATATGTATTTAACTAATAATGTAACAACATTTTATTCTTATTGTATCTGAGCGTTCCCGCGGTGATTGATCAAAACATGCATATAGAAAGAACACAACAAAAACGGCAAAGTTTATTAGTTATGTATTACAGAATTGAAACAAAACTGAAGTCAAAATAGTTTCTTTCAATAGATTAGTGTGTATTGATATGATAAATTTTAACACAACTTGTTAATTACAGTAACTACACATTTATAATGTACATATTATGCTAAGAAACCTTGTCTTGATCTGCATTTATCAAACAAGATATAACGTTAAAACATTTTGATACATATATGCACCACCAATAATATATAAAATTATTTGTTATTATTCCTATAAAAACATTGCATAAAAGATCAAATAAATATATTACCCAGTGTATTTTACAATGACACTGTGTTTTCATAACAGCTGCCTATGTTTATGTATAAAGTATGTATGGTAATTCTTCTTGTGCACGATTTCTTGTCTTAGAACTTAACTTATAATAAAGTCTTTAATCTTGAAAACTCGAGCATTCTTCTTGGAACACCCAAAAGGATAATTGCTTTTTGCAAGATGTTTTCGAACTTTTTCCATAAATTTCTTATTTCTCTTTTTAAATTTACCACGTCTAACAAACACTTTTGCATTCTGTGCAATGGCTTGCTTAAGTTTCTCTCGAATGTGCTTTCGACCTACCAACTGTTTACACCATTTACCAGATGATGGCAATCCACTGACAACCGAAAACGTGACAGGATATTTCTTTTTCTTGTTGGGAGGTTGTACTGCAAACTCGTAGACAGCAGCATCTTCAATGTCACGTGCAAATATCTGTTTAGTGACGTAGCCATTCAGCCATTTTGCCCATTCTTCTTTTGAAGACAACTTGGCATTACTCATTGCCTGTTTCCAAGAGGACCACTGAAGTAGATTGAGTGGTTTTGTCGTTTTAAATTTGCGGTCATTTCTTTTTTCTCTTGGAATGTCATTTTGCTGCAGATAAAGAGACATACATTTAAATATATCTAATAATTAAGATAATAAGATCTTTAAATATATATGTACAAATATGTTCATTGCATGTAAACAGAAAGAAAAAAAGGAACAGAACTAGAGCCTACGTTCACTGTTGTTTCTATTCTATATTTTCATACACTAGTTCAACTTTATTTCAAAATAATAACGGGTTGGATGGTTTCTGATATTTGTAAAAAAATATTTTATCTGACTAATATGAATGAAGAAGATGTCAGGTTTCCGCTACTCAACGATAATTAAAAAGCATATCCAGGTAAAAAAAAACATTCTTCAGGTGTATGTACAATATGTGAGTTTAGATCTAAATCACTTAAAATGTTAAAAAAAAAGCGTTGTGAATAAATCCAAATAATAGAATATCAAAACTCTGTAATCAACACTAAATTCCCTTTTATGACAAATCACTAAGATATGACAAGAGACAACCATTGACGGGATTGCTGACTTGGAGCAGACACATGAACATGTGCGGGGTTATATTATATTTTAAGAACTAAAGTCTCCCCTTTCATATCTCGATCTGAGGAATAACAAAGGATACATTAAGGAAATATCAATGATAACAAGTACAGGAAAAAACATTTAACTCTATAATAACGGCACAATAGATAAAAACACAAAATAAGTAAAACAGCAATAACCAATACCTTATCAAAGAATGCTCGCAATAACTGACAGCAAGCTCAAAGTACCTAAACAGCTGATATGAAATAATTCACTCTAATATCAGTGACTGTACTTCACAGTAGACTTCATACAGCAATATCATGCACAGGGCAGGACTAGTTGCTTATATGCACGTCATTTGGAGTCTAGTGGATCGTTGTCTCATTGCCAATCATACCACATCTCTTTACTTTTATAAGGAAGACACGATCATGTGCATTGTCCAGAATTTTGTACAAAATTTAAATGCAATAAAGATAATTTCGAATTCCTGCATTTGTTATAAATGTATAGTAAACGTTTGATCACTCTATCATATCTTTATTACTGCCTGTAAAGGATTTTTGATAAAGCAAATTTTATGTTGATGGAAATCTAAGATGTATAGAAAATATAAATATTCCTAATACGCATTGTCCTAATTTGATGCTTCATAAGGGGAAAATTGCAACACCGCAATTCGGAAAATATCGGGAAATTTAAAGTACGCGATATAAAACCAATAGCCATTCTTTCGAAACAATGAATTGTCATACTGAGTGCCCTCAAATGCAAATTCACAAAAAACGTGTTAGATTTTCAATTTATTTCATCTTTTGGTTTCATGATTTTTCTTTCTTTGATGTTTCAGTGAAAAAAATACAGAAAAAAGGATCATACCTATCTAGTGTCTAACATTTAAAAACTAACCGGCATAGTTTTGGTTAAATAATAAGATTTATTATATGATTTATAAATAAAATAAGGAGATATGATTGCCAATGAGACAACTATTCACCAGAGTCCAAATAACACGCACGTGGATTAAAGCGACTATAGATCACCGTACGACCTTCAACAAAGAGCAAAACCTATACAGTATATGGATAGTCACCAATAAAAGGCCCCGACATGACAAAACTTGAAACAATTCAAACGTGGAGAAACCCAATGGTCTGATTTTTGACAAAACAATAAACAAAAAACAAATGTGACAGACATCAACTTCAATGTTCATTCCTACAAAACTGGAAATAAATGGTACGAACGATAATTTCTTCTCTCATTTTATGTAAAGATCGAGAAAACAAATACTTTACATACGTTATCCTTTCTTTTCTGTTTTCCATTTTCTTTCCTTGATCCTTTAGCTGCTGTTTTTGGTGTTTTTCCTATGAGTGCCTTCTTTCCAAGTTTTGTTGTTTTTGTTGTTTTCATCTTGTTTGTTTTCCCCTTTTTAAGAATTGCTCCTGGACTTCCGAACATTCCAAGTAGCCCACCAGTTGGTGTTCCAAATGGACCAGTACCAATTGGTGTTCCAAAACCCCCACCCATTGGTGTTCCAAAACCCCCAACCATTGGTGTTCCAAAACCCCCACCAATTGGTGGTACAAACCCTCCACCAATTGGTGGTGCAAACCCCCCAATAATTGGTGATCCAAACCTTCCACCAATTGATGGTCCAAATCTCCCACCAACTGGTGCCCCAAACCCCCCAGCAGTTGGTGTTCCAAGCAAGCCACCACCACTTGTACCAAATAAGCCTGTCCTGGTTGTACCAGCAGCTGATGAGAGGCCACCAAACATTCCTGACAAATTTTTACTCAATTTCGAAATTCCATATTTCTCTTTCAGTTCATCCTGATAAGCCTAGAATAATAATAAAATGTAAAATAAATAGCCATTTGCTGTACAGTGTGTTAGTTTTATAATATTCGCTAGAACATTTTTTGAGATCACTTTCAATTTCCTTATAATTATAGTCTTTTACATAAACTAAAATTAAAGTAGTACCGTTCAACGATTACTTACACTTAATAGTTCATCGCTGCCTTCCCGATAACAAATTGACATCATTAAATCAAATATCAGGTTAAAGTTTTCCAATGTTATCATTAGTCCATCCGTTCTTGTTGCCAGTTCTTGGTAAAACTTCTGTGCATAAGCCCTTGATTTTACAGCAACGCCATAGACCTTGACTCCCTAAATCATTCAAATATATAAAGAAAATAGTGTATGACTTACTTAATTAACCCCTATAGTATTCTCATTTAACAATTTTATTCGTCAGATAAATGTAGATGTTTTAATCAAAATTCAACATTCACACTACAATAATTTGTTATTTGATCTGATAAATATTCATTCATTTGTTTTATACACTGAATTATTTCATTTCATCGTTACTATGGAATCAGCATTATTGTAAACAACAATAAACCTGATACTCATCACACACTTGATAAATCCACAATATGACTTTCAACAACACACAATATTGTCCTAAATCGTTCACAGAACTGTAAAAAATATCAAATTTTAGAAAGCCCTGTGCGATTGCTTAATTTTCATGGTCCGCCTATGATATATACATAGCCGCTGAGGAGACATTGTGTTTCCCGTTCTGTGCGCCCGTTTGTCCCCTATAGGTTTAAGGCAGTTTACCGCGAAGTTGTTGTATCGTCGACTTGAAATTTAATACACATGTTGATTATGATGTTAACTATTTTTTAAAGATCTGCCAAATAAGGGTTTTGATCAAGATTTCAGGGAACATGGACATGTGATTGTGTGAGCGGGGCACTGTGTCGCATATCATACTCTTGTTTTTTTCCTGTGTTTTTTTTTTAATTTAATTTTTATCTTCAAAGCTCAAGTGGTGTTATTGCAATATTTGAAATGCAGATAGCAATGTTCAAGTGTGACATGCACAGACTGGGACAAACAGGAAAACGGTGAACAAACTTAATTTAACCCTACTGTTTAATAATCATCATGAAGTTTATCTTTAAACTGTGAGGAGGAATCAGTGGCCGTGTGGTCTAAGTAGTTCATTTACTGTATCACTTGCCTGTCAAAACTGGAGTTGTGAGTTCGAAACGTACGTAGCAGGTGCGTTCCGGGCAACCCAGCTTCCTCAACCAATAAAAACTGGCAGCCACGATGTAGCCAATAGTGGCGTTTAGCACCAACAATCAATCAACATGTAACAGTGTGACAACACATGTCTGAAGCATAGGGTATAGACATTCCAATCACGAAAAAAATGTGTTTGGAATGGTAAATGTAATATTCTGCTCAGAAATAAGAAATTAAATAATGTGCCAGGAGAATGCAATATTAATCAGGATAACTGAATATTGTCATGAATAAATTTATTACCATATCTTTCAACTTGGTGCATTCATTACGCCAGTCAATATCATTTGTAAAGTCGCCATATTTGTACCCTGGTTCGTGTGGAAGGTCATCTCCTATGATGACAAGAGAACGTTTGCTACCTGGAGTCCATGACAAAACTTCTGTTGCACGCCTTAAAACAAGTTCGTAACATTCAGGACCATCACCTCCACCTGTATCTCCACAATTATTTACGAAGTCATGAAGTTCTGGAAGTGTTGCTCCAAAATCAATCCACTTAATAATGTAATTATCTTTGTCGCAGTAATCGCCATGAGCAAAAATTGCTATTCGTATTCCAGGTACATCTGACTGGAGTTTTTGTACAATATCCTTGATTCTTCCTTTGACTTCATTTAAAGCTGCACTCATTGATCCCGTTGTATCAAATGAAAAAGCAATCTCAACAAGTCCTCCAGGGGGTAATGGTGGCAGCGGTGAAGCTAACGCAGCTCTGGAACTTTTCTTTCGTGATAACTTCTTTGACAATGTGCTGCTTCCTGACAAACTTTTTCTTAAAGATGAGACTACTGCGTCTCCAGTCTCAGAAAAAGGGGACGTGTGATCTACTTCCGTTATTTCCACGCCTTCACCGATGTCGTCTTCAGTTATCACTCCGGTTTTCCCAATATGTGACCCAGAATCCAGTGCAATTGCCGTTGTTGCGATATCGCTAATTTCTTTTGTGATAGAAGCTTTCTTTGTAAGCGATGGAACTTTAGATAGATCAGATGATGTTACACTTCTTTTACTTGACATAGATGTGATAGAGGTAACTTTCTTTGATAATGAAGGTTTTATCAGAGACGACGTACTTGATGTTGATGAAACTAAAGAAACTGTTTCACTAGGCCGACTAGTGAAACGGCGTTTAGCTTTCAGGATTTTTCTAGGCGGATTCTCATTTGGTGGATCCATTGGTAAAGTTGGTTGCCTTCGTAAGCTCGGGGTATCCATCTGCAGGTTACTTTAACTTTGAATTTAGGCTACCGTAACTGTTAAAACATAAAAAAAACTAAGTTTACAAATGTGTGGGTTTTTGTTTTTGCTTCCTTAAATATTATGTTACTAATGCCCTATTTAATGCCGTTTAGTATGCAGAAGTTTTTTTTCTGATTGTGCTTTTGTTCATATTTGTTTTCGCTCTAATTTAAATCATTAGATATTGAGTGCGATTTGCAACTTCGGCAAACTGAAAGTATTATTATAGCTATAACATATTTCAGATTACTGGAATAATTCGAGTGATCATATTTATGTCAGTCAGATGACATTATAAATATACACCCACCCATAACAAAATTATTCAGTCAGGTGATTTTTTTTTAAGCGTATGTAAAAAAAAGTTGTCATCCACTCTTATTAGATCGTATTTCGCCTAAATGATGCCTTATGATATAGTAACCTTTCCCCCTTACCTTTCTAAAATGATAATATACTTCTTCTTATCGTCTGGTATATTTATCGGGTATTTCTTTCTATTCGTTTCTCTCTAGACTTAACTTTTAACAAATGAAAATGTTTAAATGTAATCTGTATAAATAAGTAACCAGTTCAGTCATGTTGAAGTTAATATTTGTACATTACTATGTCAGCATATTTTGTCAATAATTGCATGAATATTAAATCGATTTTTCTTTGTGTCTAAATTTCAAGATTTTAAAGGGTTGAAACAGATAACCTTGATCATGTTTAAAGACTTGCTACGCTTTATTCTTGCAATTGTTGTTGAAAGAATCGACGCTGTCCATTAAATCGTTACTAGAATCTAAAATAAATTAAAAATCTCCAAACAATATGAAGCTCTCACTAAAAAGTCAATCACAAGTCAAACAAAGATCGCAGGCAAAGATATTAAGAACAACTGACGAGTTTCCTATTTTTCGACAGACATATGGACATATTGCAAGGTTATTACTTTTCTAATTTTTTAATATTTATTTTAGATATCGACCGCGTTCACCTTTTGCTATCGATTAGTGGAATGAGAGAAAAAAATACAAAGAAGAATACATTAAAAATCAATTTAAAAACGCATTTTACTGTATAAAACAAATATAGAATTATTAAAATACAGGCTAAAGTATAAACAAATGCACGAATGTACTCAAAGCAAGTGATTAACAGCTGAGCTGAAGTAATGTTGTCCTACACTCGATATCAGCTCTTTTGCTAATAAGTAGATTTCATAAATAAACGCCATAAACAGTACAAGAAAACACGATCTTGTATAATACCTCGAGCAAATTTTTACAGAATATCAATGCAATTTAGTCTTGCAAAAATTAGAAATAAACGAGTGATGTTAATCCCCAACATACCAGACTAAACAATGAACCACCAAAGCATAATTATAACTAATTTTTTTTAAGTCTTGTAAACAGAAGAATTTGAAGGACCATTCCTAACATATCTGTTTTATAAATAATATTTCTGTAAAAAAGGAGTGATATTTCTGCAACTGGAATCATACTTCCACAATAAATCCCCGTATATTTCTGGCAAAAATAAATAAAATATTTGACTTTTTTATGACATCTATATCCGTGCCGTATAACTTTTTATTATTGAAAATATTATATTCATTGAAATCTAAGTCAACAATACAAATACAGCTTTTTAAGAATCTTTTTATAAAGTAAAATACATAATAAGCTCTTAAGAATTTTTTAGCCGGAAAACTAGACATTCATGCAGTTAAACACACAAAATATACATTTTATCAATTAATTGAAATTCAGTCTGGATAAGGATGAACAGTAGCCTTTTTGCGTTAAGCTCTTTTAACTAAAAAAAATATTCACATGCAACATAACCAAAGTAAGAAATTAGACTAAAGCACTAAAGCTAACAACTGGAGACACACTTACTTGAAATCACTTTATTATATCAATTTTAGTCCTGCTTAGGAGCTCGTACTCTACTGATCTATCTCTTTGGTTACATATCACACCGACACGGTTGTTTACAGCAATGGTAATGATAGATCAACAAAGAGCCTTGATATAAAAATAAGAAGATGTGGTATGGTTGCCAATGAGACAATTAAACACCAGAGACAAAATGACGTAAATCTAAGCAACTATATACTAGTATCACCGTATGTTCTTAAACAGTGAGCTTATCCCATACCATATAGCTAGCTATCAACACGGATGTAGGAGCCGGGGGTGCAAGCGTGCCAATTCCCCCGGTCTAATTTATAAAGGTGGCAAAACAATGTTCCCTCACATTTTTGGCATATTTTTGTATTGCATACAACAATTAACAATTATTGGGGAAACTGACTAACTTTTTGACCATACAAGGTTTTTTTGCTTCTCACTTCCAGAATATTGCCCCCACTATTAGTCTACTCATACGCCCCTAATTAAGGCACCCGACGACACGACAAAAGATAAATTACTTCAAACGAGTGGCAGTGTTACACATGTTTGCGAGCGATCAACCCTTCCTAGCTCTAACCTGGGACTGTCGGTTGGAAAGGGCTTTACTTATCAGAACGACACAAAGCACAAACAAAAATTTACAAAGACTAAATAAATTGAAATATATAACTTTGAATTCATTACAGACACGGACATAGCGAACCAGTTGGAATATATAAACACCATAAAATATGGCCAAAGCAACATCACCGTCTAAAAAAAGAAAATTAACAATAGGAATATGATTGCCAATGAGACAATTAAACACCAGAGACAAAATGACGTAAATCTAAGCAACTATATACTCGTATCACCGTATGTTCTTAAACAATGAGCATATCCCATATCATATAGCTAGCTATTAACACCGATGTAGGAGCCGGGGGTGCATGCAAGCGTGCCAATTCCCCCGGTCCAATTTAAAAAGGTGGCAAAACAATGTTCCTTCACATTTTTTGGCATTTTTTTTATATTGCATACAACAATTAAGGATGTTCTCTCCTCTGTTTCAAAATAACAAGCCTTTTAAAAGAATGTTATGAATTGATAGTATATAAATAACTGAACTAAAAAAGCCGAAAAAAAATATAGGTCCGTGTCCTTGCTTTTGAGATATAATTAATTGAAAATTTGACTGGAAATGATTTTCTCTAGAGTTTTCATGCATTTAACATTGGCACCTTTTTTCTTTCAAAAACTATGAAAAAATATTAAGGATTTGATAAGAGTTTCAAAAATGGCTTTTAAAACTATATGTAATAAAATTATGAAAAGAAATGTAGGGGTTAGCGGTCAAAACTTTTTATTGGCTCTACATGGATAAAACTCGTCTAGAGGATTCCGAATATCTAACCAAGAGTAGCGAACATCCTAACAATTATTGGGGAAACTGACTTACTTTGAGACCATACAAAGTGTTTTTGCTTCTCACTTCCAGAATATTGCCCCCCACTATTACTCTACTCATACGCCCCTAATTAAGGCACCCGGCGACACGACAAATGATAAATCACTTCAAACGATTGGCAGTGTTACACATGTTTGCGAGCGACCAACCCTTCCTCTAACCTGGTACTGTCGGTTGGAAAGGGCTTTACTTATCAGAACGACACAAAGCACAAACAAAAAATAAACAAAGACTAAATAAATTGAAATATATAACTTCATTACAGACACGGACATAGCGAACCAGTTGGAATATATAAACACCATAAGATATGGCCAAAGCAACATCACCGTCTAAAAAAGGGAAAATTAACAATAGGGAACGAAAATCGTCCATTTTGTCCTTAATTTTGTAGTTTCCCTTGTAAAAAGACGCTGTTGACCTTCAATTTCTTCGCATATCTTTTGGGGGTTAAAGATGTTATATTGTTTGAGTCATACCTATGTAGAACGAGAAACGGTTTTAAACAATGCAATGTTAATTTTACTTACTAAACTTGAACTTCTTCCTCTACTCTGTAAAAACTGCAAATGTATCATTTTAGTATGTTTTTTACTATTTAACTAAAAAAAACCAATTGGGATTTCAAAAGCACATGTAGCGTCTGAAAAGATTCAAACGGATTTTTTTTCGGGCCGGGGGTAAAACAGTGTAGGTAGATACGTTAAGAAAGTAAAACTATAAGCGTGTATACCCTTTTAGCATGTCTTTGATGTTAAAAACAAATTTATTAACGAAACAATTTTATATTTCCTGGGCAATTGTATTTTTGTGTGATGGCTCCTATACTTGGATGTTTTTCATTAACCTGTATGCTGTTGTCAATACTTTTGGCTACATTTACAAAAAAAGTTCTTCAATATTTCAGACATTTCTTGTTTGGTTTATTATCATTTTTCTTTCTTCCATGAGCAGAATTTCTGTTTGGTTGGTCCCTCCTTTGTTTTTTAAAAATGGATTTATAGTTGGTCAAAAGTATTTCGTTCTAAGAAGTATTTATCAAGTAACTTAATGTTGTTGTTTTTTAAAGTTTGCTACATATTTTCTTTGTGTTCTATATGCCCCAGGTCTTTCTGTTTTCTTTTTGTATTCTGCTGATTTAAACTGTTTGTTCATGTATGGTATATGTTTGGCAATATTTTCCTTTCTATAAAAGGTTCATGTGTGTTTACTATTTATAAAATATTTTGGTTGATGTTTTCACATTCAGTGTTTACATAACGTTTAGGTCAACATCCCAGTTTTCTCCTGCAAATCAACTAAAAAATAATTTACATAAAACTTTTTTAAAACTTCTACATATTCTGCATGTATTTCGGTTTGCTATTTGGACGTTCACATTTGATCTGAACACCAATTAAGTTGTAAACATCCCTTAAAACATATCTAAAATTACATATCTTTCCACATTTATTCTCTTGTTTTGTTTCCACATTTATTCTCTTGTTCTGTTAACTTAAGATAACACCTAAAAGAGTTGAATTCAGTGCTTCTAGTAAAACAGGTTAACTGCATTCCTCATCAAATTCTTTGGACATACGAAATTTCCAGTCGTTTAAATTGTACTATTGTTATTAATCTATCAATACACAGAAAAATATATGAGTAGATGGAAAGGGTATTGGGAGACGGGGAGAAAGGGGGCGGGAGAAAGGAGAAAGGGGGCGGGAGAAAGGAGAGAGGGGGCGGGAGAAAGGAGGAAGAACTATCAAAGGGAGACGAACTTTAATGTTGAAAAAAAAATAAAGAGGTAAAAAAACGAAAGAACTATATTCTAAATGTTCTAATAAATGGACAAATCTTTGAAATCCTTGAATTTCATAAAGACATGCAAAGAGATATACCACGTAATTGTATATTAGAAAGTGTAATACCCCCTTTGTTACCTGGTCAGGTTGTATATACATTAGATGAGGAGATTTACAATAGGCTGACCAGCTCTCTTCAGACTGATACAATGACGATCAATGAAAAAGCCGTTAGCGAGACGTTTGAGGAAGAGGAAATTGTACTGACTGTACTGAGCTGTGAAAGAACGAGACGTGGGAGAACTGTTAAAAAACCAAGATACTTGATGGATTTCTATTAATTCTGTACATATTATATTATATTTTATAGCAAAACTTAAGACAA